TTTTATTTTGGCTCTTGTTGTTTTTGATATATTTGCCTAGGTTGTTATTTGTTCGGAAAACTGATGTTATTTCTTTCTTTTTTATGTGTTTGGCTATTTTTGTTGATATTTTGCCTGTATATGTAATCGAACAGATTAATTAGTTCGAGTTTGATTAATGATATTTCTCCACTGGTCGGGGTCATCTGTTACATGTACTGCCTAAGTATACTGTTTGTTGAGAAGCTTTTTCTTCATTTCTGCCCATTACTGTGGAGTTCTGTCATATTGGAATTGACTCTGAGGCCTTCCTTGAGCTATTAAATGGTTTTATTGTGATCACTTATTTTGTGATAGATATGACCGTGGGCCTTAAAGAAAGCGGATAAAAATAAACTGGACGCTTTTGAAATGTGGATATACCTCCGCATATTGAGAATATCCTGGATTGATCATCGCACTAACTTATCGATATTAGAACAACTTAAAGTAAAGGATAGATTGCTTAAACAAATACAACAGAGATATTTGCAGTATTTTGGACACCTTGCTAGAAGAACAGGCACGGTGGAAAAACTGATAGTCTAGGGTTGAGTTAAGGGAAAGAGACCTAGAGGAAGATCTCCAAGGCATTGGGTAGATCAAACAAAAATATAAATATTTACAACCGAGACATACGGGCGGCGAGCTGTCCCTGGAATTCGAAGCAGTCGTCTCCTTTTTAAAAGTTTCATTTTAAAAGTGTTTATGCATCGTCTATCTGATTCTTTGACTGATCATATTTCGCATTCATAGTAAAATATGAAATATAAAATGAAAAATAAATAGACCAGAGTTAAAAAGGATCTCTTCTTATTTGTCATAGTAATGTACGATTATGCCATCTTTGTTTAGTTCAGTCATTGCTGCTCTTGCTAGTTATATACGTCTTCAAATTTCGGTTTCACAACTGCCTGTGTTGTTAACTAGAGCTCCAAGATACATATTAGAGGAGACTATATCGCATACCATAATAATTAGTGTCAGGAAGCTGTTGTTGTTGATCAATACATTATAGTTTTGGTTTTGTTGCAGTTAGCTATGAGTCCAAAGGAAGTTAGAGGTAGAAACTTTACTTTCCACCTTAAGTTTTTTTTAAGTTAGTAATTTCTTCTGTTGTTGAGACTAGAAGTGTAGTGTCATCTGCGAAACGGAAGTTAGATATCTTGACACTATCTAGATTTATTTCTTCCTCCCAACCATTCAAAACTATGCGCAATATGAACTCTAAATAGATGTTAAATATATAATAAATAGGGGAGTTAAAACGCATTCTTGATGAAATTTCTTTTTCAAAGTGCATTCGTCAGATACGCGTCTATACATTTGAATACATGATAGGATATCTTGATAGAGTTGGCTAATAAGGTTAGTCGAGTGTTTAGGTACACCCATTTGTTGTCACTATGTTCCATATTTTGTTCCATCTAAAATTATTAAAAGCCTTTGGCTTTTTATAATCAAACATAACGTATAAACTTTAAAATCTGATATTCTTTGGTTTTTTCTCTGATGTTTCTTACATTAAGGATTTGTTCTCTAGTACATTTTCCTTTCAGAAATCCAGTCTGCTTAGGTACTATTTGCCAACTTACAAAGTTTTCTAGAAGACGTAGCAGGACCATACGCATACCATAGCAAGAAGACGTAGCAGGACGTAGAGAATCGCCTTATTGGCGTGTGATATGAAAGCTAAAATTGAGAGCTACAAGAGCTTTGGTTACTCCAATTATTTGTTAGATCTTTGCTTGTGTAGAGGCATGATTATGGTATTTCTCCAATCCTCAGGCTAAATGTTTGTGTGCCAGATTTCAATACACAATTGATGTAATATTTTTAGTCCACATACGGAAATACGCTTCTAGACATTAGCAATAATGAAATAATAGCCTGCTGATTTTTTTAACTTAAGTATTTTTAGATCAAATTCCATCTTGGAAAAAAGTATGTTATGTTCAGATTCAAAGACAACGTGATGTGTTTCTGTTAAAGAAGAGTGAAATATACCTATATTATTAATATTGTTATTACAAGAAACTGTTTTTTAATTTCAAATGACATCACTAACAATTATTATGTAGTTTGTGTATTTTATTTTAGGCTGTTCATACGCGAATGGTGATCTCACGCCAGAACAAGCAATTATGTTAGCATTCGCAAAATATTATGCCTGTACAAAAACCAAGTTACCTCCTGGACAAATGGCAGTTATAGGCATGTCGAAACACTCCGTACAGAAAATCCTTCCAGAGGATATATTTATAGCTTGCCATAATGGAAAACAAAGCGTTACCATAACTGGACCAGCTGAATCTACTAAAGAATTGGTAAATAAATTACAAAATCAGGGAATTTTTGCGAGATTAGTCTATACTGGTAACATTGCCTTCCATTCCAAATATTTACTAGACGCTCCTAAACATTTTAAAGACTTCATGGAACCGATTCTTTCAAATCCAAAACCTAGATCAAAGAAATGGATATCAAGTTCTGTTCCTGATGGTAAAGAAAATGAGACATGGGCCAACACCAATTGTGCGGAATATCATACAAATAACTTTTTTAATAGTGTTTTCTTCGATCGAGTTTTTGAAAAGGTTGAACCGAATGCAATTGTGATAGAAATAGGTCCACATGGAATTTTGCAAGCTGTTTTAAAGAAAGAATTAGGACCAAATAATTCTATGTTTAGTTTATTGGACAAAAACGTTGGAAATCAAGAAGCGTGTCTTCTGTCTTCAATTGGAAAGTAAGTAAATAGTAGTAGTATTAGTAGTAAGAGTTAGTTATAAACATTTAAAGTAACCAATTACACTACCGGAAAGGAATTATTTTCGAACAACAGAGATTACTGTTTATAAAATGATATCAATGTAATAATAATATTAAATTGCCTCTATTTAGTATATACAATTTTATAAACGTGAGTTACATGAGGCGAAGTCTACCTAGAGCTACTCCACTTAACCGTTTATAAAGTTAATTAGAAATTACAGCGAATAAAGTGATTTATAATTTTTAACATAAATCAATAATTTAATATTAAAATTTTAATCTCGGAAACCTTTTCTGGATGGTGCTAGAGAGGTCACCAACGAAGACACTGTGAATGGTAGCTAGATGGTTGGTGAAGAGCAAGTCTGGGGTTCAAAACTAGCTTTTGGAACCAGTAATGGATCCAGCAGAAGAGATATTAAAGATAGGACAAGATAAGATGGAGTAGAAAAGACAGAGAGATAGATAACAAGAGATATAGGTACAATTACCAAAGATAAGAGAAGATAAGAAAAAGGGCGCCACGTAACTTTTTGGGTTGACAAGGGGAGAATTAAGAAACCTTGGAAACAAAAAGAGATATATATATATATATATATATATATATATATATATATATATATATATATATATATATATATATATATCGGTTTTAAAACGTTCTCCTACGTCTTACGATGCCTAGTCCCCATTCACTTCGGTCCATCCAAAGGTCTTCATCTAATTCTCTTTCTCTCATACTTCGATTTATGCCTTCTCTCCAACTAAGGCGGGGTCTTCCTCTTTTTCGTCTACCATGAGGGGTCCACGTTAGGATTTGTTTCGGGAGTCGTTCTTTGGACATTGTTTGTACGTGTCCATACCATCTAAGCTGTTTGGTACTAATGTCATCTACTATTGTGTGTTTCACATTCATTATTTCCCTAATTTTGTTCTTGGTTACCCTTTCTAATCTTGATTTTCCTGCTGAGCGCCTGCAGAAATCCATTTCTGTTGCTTCAAGTTTTCTCTTGTATCTTTCTTTTATTTGCCATACTTCACTGCTGTAAGTGATTATACTCTTAACAATTGTATTGTATATTCTATGTTTGTTGTTGTTTGATATTGCCTGGTCCCACAGTATGCTATTGAGAAGGGTAATTGCTTGTCTTCCCTGGTTGTTTCTTTCTTCTATCGTCCGGTCTACGTTTCCTTCTTGTGTGATGGTCATACCCAGGTATTTATATGCGTCGCAATGTTTAATAATTTCGCCATTCCCCAGTGTAAGGTCCTGCTGTGTCCCACCGATACACATATATTCGGTCTTTTTTATGTTTATTTCTAAACCACCTTTTTTGTACTCCTCTATTAATTTCCTTGTCATATATTCTATATCATCGTAGTCTTGCGCTAGTACAAGTTGGTCGTCTGCAAATAACAAAGTGTATATTGTATTGTTGTTGATCGGTAATCCCATGTTTTTGCATTTGCGTTTCCAAAGTTTTAGAGTTTGCTCGAGGTAGATCTTAAATAATGTCGGTGAAAGGCAGCACCCTTGTTTTAGGCCTTTGCTAATTTGGAATCCTCTCGATAGAGTGCTTCCAACTTTCACCCTTGCTGCAGTTTTGGTATACAATTGTTTCGTCGCTGTTATTAAATTTGCGCTTATATTGGTTTTCTCTAATGCTGCCCATAGTTTGTTTTGTGGGATGCTATCATACGCTTTTCTCAAGTCCACATATAACAGATGCACCTCCTGGTTGACGGCCAGTTTCTTCTCAATAATCTGTGTAATACAAAACAGATGGTATACCGTTGATCTCCCTGCGATCGAAAAGAGATAAGGAGAGATAATTAGGTTCTGGGACCAAATACAAGAAAATATATTGACAGTTAATTATTAAATAAATGTGGACAACACACTACATAATCAAATAATAAATATTATGTTCGGTGGAATTCGTCAGGCAGCTTAAACTGAAGGAACAAGAAATGCGCATAAACCACTTGAATAAGCAAGAAAAAATGCGCACTTGGATAAGTAAACCTCTGCATGGGCGATATCTGAATGATATGAGCCAAGAATATGTCGACAATATAGCGTCGAACTATTTGTTGACATCAGAAAAGATGTTTCCCGAGACTGAGTGTTTCCTACTTGCCATTCAGGATCAGGTTTCTCCAACTTAATTTATGCTATATATTTACTATTGACTAAAACTTCTATCGAGGACCGGCCCTGGCAAGGTACGGTTAAGTTGTATTGATATCGTACTCCTAGTTTTTAATAAAAACAAGTGGTTTTATTAAACAGTTTTTTAAAATTAAAGTGTTTATCTACTAGATACTACTACGTAAGTCATCTATACGTAATTATTATTTTATTATTGTGAAAAGAAAAAGTCAAATAATAAATATAAACTACCATACAATCATTTTGTGAGGTTAGCTGCTATAAGTAGCTTATAGTAGCATGCGACTGGTTTTTCACTTACCAGAGTCGGAGTAAGGCCTTCGCTACCGCACCTCAAAATGACTTCACACAATGTAAACACACCTTTCGATCTAACCAGTCCAGTAAATCAACGTTCAAATATCACAAACAGTTATGCTTCAGCCGCTTCACATTCTTTTCCGAGTAAGAACCAAGCAATTGTATTTAGTTGTATCGATAATGCTAAACTGCAGGATTATCTCATTCCTTTGGGCACAATCAACAACCCAAAAAATATTATTTTTTCATCTAGATTATCTCATAATAGAATCTGCATGTATTTGGCGAACAAGACCGTAGTAGATAACTTCATGACACAATATGGCTCTATAGAAGTACTCGGCGAAGTAGTAACAGCAAGAAGACTTGTCTCTCCAGCAGAAAGACTAGTCTTGTCTGGAGTCTGCCCGTCAATTCCTCATCAAGTATTAGTTGAAGAATTAGAGAATATCGGTTTAAAGCTTATTTCTCCAATAACATTCCTGAAAATTAGCTCGACTCTTCCCGAATATAGTCACATATTGAGCTTTCGGAGGCAAGTTTATATAAGCCCTATAACATCACCAATTCCAGATTCTATTCTAATAAATTTCGACCAAACACCTTACCGCATATTTTTGTCACAAGGTACACTCACCTGCTTTATTTGCAAAAATACAGGGCACATATCATCCCAATGCAAAAACAGTTCGGTAACGGAATCAACTCATATTGAGTCAAACAATGAAGTACCAAATCAAACAGCTTCAACAAGTATACTACACAAGGTACCAAACACCCAGCAGTCATCAAGTTATCCATCATCAAATCCAAGCATATCACCTACACCTACAAATCTCCATGACAAAGAAATTACTAACGCTCCTACTCATAACAACACTTTCAATCAACCTCATTCAGTAGCAATACCGTTTTCACAAACTTCGGAAGCAATATCCTCTAATCTATCAGCTCCTTTTTCATTAGATACAACTGCAGAAAATTCTAATAAAACTGATACAACAAGACAATTTTCTGAAACAACCATTTCAACCAATCTTACAAATAAAGGTTCAAGCTCGAGTTCTGTCACTACCAAGGAGTTTGCTCCAGTACTTCCAAATGTAATAAAGCCACAGCATCTAAATGAAAACTCTAATAACAATTCCGAAAACACAAGTTCTTCCATAAAACGCAGTATTGGTGAGATCGTCACGCCTCCTTCAGACTCAGTAATTTCATCAGAAAATCTGTTTGCAAAACCCAAACCCTCTAAACCAAAAAAACCGCGCTCATATAAAGTCCCATCTACACGGGAAACTCTTGAAAATTTTATTGATAATCATACCCCACCATTCGTTTTAAATTACCACCAATTGTCCTTACTGATTGATAATGTCCAAGGCTCCTCCGACACTATTAGCGTCGTCAAAGAATTTACAACTGATATCTGTGGTTTACTCCATCTTTTACAAAGCAGCTATCAATATGCAAATGATAGATCTACAAAAAGCAAGTTTACTAAACTTCAAAAGAAATTACACAAACATTTAGAGAAAGAGATTTCTGACTTAGATAGTGACTCTTCTGTAGACAATTGTTCAGTATCATCTAACTCCGAATCTGTTAACAACATTCAACTCGATACTTTAATGGAACATTGATGGATTTTTTCATCGTCTCCCTATGCTACAGCTTTTTTTATCTAAATATTCTCCAGATATTATTATTTCTTATGAACATGGAAGATGCGTCCAATTTTTATGGGTTCCCTCAAACGTCGGAATAACAAGAAATGAAGAAGCTGACAGGACTGCACGAGAGGCAATTTTAAGTGATTTGTCGCAGCCGATAGACAAGTGTGTTTTTAGTGACTTAGAAGCTTATTTTAAAAATAAAGTGTGGTGTTTGTGGCAAAATGAGTGGTCTCAAACTAATTCCAATCTAAATAAAATCAAAAATAATGTGTCTCAGTGGTTTCCATCGTCGCTCAATAGACGAGAACAAATTGCGGTTGAGCGTTTACGCCTAGGACATACCAGATTAACGTACTCCTACCTTTTTACAAAGAAAAATCCACCTATATGTGATCAGTGTAACGTCCGATTAACAGTCGAACATTTTTTAACAATTTGTAGTAAATATGACCAAGAAAGACAGCGCTACAGGATCCCAAACGTTCTACTAAAGGCTCTAGGTCAAAACTGTTCCTGTAACAATATAGTGAATAATCTTAGATCCATAAACATTTTGTACAATCTGTAGGTATTTAACTTTGTTTTTTATATTTTGTTCCGTCGCTAATAACCTTTTGGTGGATGCGACATCTTTTTCTAATAAAAAAAAAAACTTCTATCTTATAGTTTCAAGTATAATTCTTAATAGAATTTATTTTTTGTAGAATATATAATGCTGGTGCCAATCCAAACTTAAGAAAACTATATAAAGGAACAACGTTTCCGGTGAAAGCAGGAACTAAAATGATCGCTCCACTTGTAAAATGGGATCACAGTGTCTCATGGTTTGTACCTTATTGGAAAAACAATCAATCTCTTGGACATCTAGTAACAGTTAATTTAAATGATGCTAAATACTCTTATTTAAAAGGACATAATATAGATGGTAAAATTATCATGCCTGCAGCTGCGTATTTGGTAAGATTTTACATTATGTGTAATCGAAAAACACTATTAACTGTAACTTTAAAAGAAATATTTAATATACTTATACATATCATTATCTCAGTGGTCAGTCACATCATCACCCCGCCCACCTTAATTCAGTTATCAACACTCTTGTTTCCCATTCCATAAGACTTAGAGACAACAATCACAGATCAACCAAAATCAATTTAATAAGGCAAACACTCTTACAAAACGGTTACCACAAAACCCAAATCAATAGGAGCATTCAAAAACTTCTCTTCAAAACTATTATTCAGAAATAATTCTCTTTGGCATTTTTACTTATATTTTAGCTGACTGTGCAATGTTACATTTAAATAAGCGTTCAGATAATGACCTTCGACCGTCACCGAATATCGAACAGTTATATTATATGATATTGTCGTTCATCGCGTTGAAGTACTATACTGTATTATTGTACTGTTTTAGTGCTTGTTTGCAATAACGTATTATAATAGAATAATATGTCTCAGGCTCGATGAAAATTTCATCATTTTAATGCAGAACTCCAAAAGCATTACCCTTTTATGAAAATCAAGTCTGTCTCATCCCCGCATCTTATTTATTGTAAAATCTTTAAAAGTGAGCTTATTCCCAAATAAGCTTAAATATTACTTCGTCCAACAGGGGAACGAAGAGAGACACATTGTCGGCTAATGCAGTAAATAGATGCAATAAGCAATCAATTACGTTCATTTTTTAACCTTCGGAGTACGGAGATTATTTGACTTACTTAGATTACGAAGATGGGTCAAGCGTGACCCGTTCACATTCTATTTATAAGGATGTTTTAAATAGTCAGTATTATTAAACAGTATCTTTAACTCAACAAAAAAAAACAAAGAAACATAAAAATTATGATCCCAAATTTTTGTATTTAATTTTTTTAAGATGGTTCACCATCGTGGTCTTTTTGGCAGTAGTTGCATTTAATTTTGACAATATGGACTTCTTCGCGTTTTGAATGAGTATTACAAACAAATCTTTTACACATGTCACACCTTTTTGAATATTTATTGTCACTACCCCTACAAGAATCACAACGACCTCGTTTTGTTGCAGATTTCGGCACTTCGATTTGCTTTTTTACACTAACACCTGTGGTCTCTATTGCAGCGATTACGGATTTGGGGTATCCGGTGGGGTCTTCTTGTAATGCTTCCGCTCTTCGTTCTATATTGGGCGAGGTTAATTGTTTTCCAAGCTCCTCCAGAAATAGTTTTCTGCGATGTTTTATATTTACTTGGCTGTTCCATTCAGGATTTTTCGTATTCCAGAGAACGAAAGCATTGTAGCACGCAATATCCAAAAAGTTGAAAAATATACGTAAGGGCCATCTTCTTGTTGCTCTTTTACATGTGTACTCTCTGATCAATTTATCTAAAATATCGACTCCACTTGTGGTTTTGTTGTAATCCAAAATAATCTTTGGTTTAAATTTTTGGTTTTCATCAGAAATTTCATGTTCATTGTGTAAGGTCGATAATAATACAACAATATTATTAGGCTTGGTTACATATGAAACTAAGGTAATGTTTTTAGTGAACAAAAATTTTGAAGAATGCAGTGAGCGATCTGTCATTTCAGGCAATGATTTGGGTAAACTCTTCCTATTTTTTCTGATAGTACCCAAAAGAGTTAAATTTTTGGTTAACAGTTCTTCAGATAAAGCAATATCGGTAAAAAAGTTATCAGTTGTAATATTTCGACCAGACCTATACCAATGTTCTGCAAGTGTTTTGACAACTCTTGGTCCTTGGTTACGTTCAGATTGATCACCAATCTTTCCAGTATATATCTCAAAGTTACAGCAATAAAAATTTTCAGCGTCACAGAGGGTCCAAGTCTTTATACCGTATTTCTTTGGTTTACTTGGTATATAAATCAGAAATGGACAACGTCCCCTAAAATCTATAGTCTATATATATATATATATATCGTCAATAGTACCAAAAGAAGATGGTTCTTATGATTCCCTACAATTTTGGGCAAATAGATCAGCGATTTCTCGAATAGGAGCTAATTTATCTCGTTCTCTTCTTTCTGCTCTCGTTTCCAAATTATCAAAGCGAATATGCTTTAAAATACTTATAAATCTATCCCGTCTTAGAGATGCTTTATATATAGGACGCGTAAATGCATTATTTGTATTGGACCATAAATTATGCACCCTCTCATGGGACTCTCTGAACCTTCCACATGATATAAGTATACCAAAAAAAGCACGCAGTTCGACTAGATCAACTTCAATCCAATCCTTCATTTTTTTCTCGTTCTTACTGTTATACGCAGCTATGAACTCAATAGCTCTCTTATTGGTATACTCAAGAACCATTGACATTATATATATATATATATATATATATATATATATATATATATATATATATATATATATATATATAATCAATAACCCTTCTACCCTAAGGTGTTGGGTGTAAAGTCTCTTTTAGTTTTCATGTACAAACTTCCTCCAATTCTTCTTGTTGCTTGCCAACTTCTTCGCTTGCTCCTTGGTGACTCCTCTCCTGTCTAGGATGGCGGCAATTTCATCGTCCCAGGTCTTCATGGGTCTGCCCCTCGGTATTTTCAAGGTTCTTCTTGCTTCCCACACTTGTTTCACTTGGCTTTTTTTATCCATCCTTACCATGTGGCCGTACCATCTCAGTTGGGCTTCTTCGATTTTCTTCTCTATTGACTGGACTTTAAGGCGTTCTCTTATTTCATTGTTCCGTATCCTGTCCATTCTGGTCACCCCTAGTACTCTTCTTAGATACTTCATTGATATACTTTGCAGTCCCAGGTATTTGAAGGTTTCTACTTGTTCTAAAGTATAGTTATTGATTTTAATGTTTGTATGTTGGTTTGTTTTCCCACATACCATCACTTTGGTTTTACTTTCATTAATTCTCAGATTGCGTTTCTCAAGTTTATCTCTCCATATTTGGAGGTTTCTCTTAAGTGCGTCCTCGTTTCTTCCAAATACGACGAGGTCATCTGCAAATGCGCACTCCACAATCTGTATCATTTCCAGGTTTCTATGTCCAACAAATAATCTCGATGTTTTTTCTCTAGTTTCATTCATTACATCATCTAGTACAATATTGAACAGGATGGGGCCTAGTACACCTCCTTGTCGTAAGCCATCATTGACTCTAAACTCTTCTGATTCCATATTATCTGTTCTTACCCTGTTTCTTGTGTTCTTGTATAGGCTCATAATAGCTTTTCTGAGTTTGCCGTCTACTTCTCTGTTTCTTAGGCTTTTGTCTATTTCAGTTCGCGGGGTTCTATCAAATGCTTTTTCGAGGTCTATGAAGGCTTGGTATAGTTCCGTACTTGTATTTCGTGCATTTTGTATTAGATGCTTGAGTGTAAAAATATGGTCATGGATGCTTCTTCCCTTCCTGAAACCGCTCTGTGACTGCTCCAGCTTATGGTCTACTTCTTGTAGTAGTCTTTTCTCCAGTACTCGTTCGTAAACTTTGGAAGGGATACTCAGGAGAGTTATACCTCTATAGTTGCTGCATTCTCGTCTGTCACCTTTTTTGAAAATGGGTAGAATAATGCCCACTTCCCAGTCTTTTGGGATCTTGTTCTCATTCCATGCTTTATTGCAAACTTTTCTAAGCATTTCATTTCCATTTTCTTCCATATTTTTTAGCATTTCCGCAGTTATCTTATCATAGCCAGCTGCCTTGCCTCTTTTGAGTCTGAGTATTATTTCTCTTATTTCTTCTATTGTTATTTCGTTTTGGTTTGGGTTCTCAGATGTGTTTTCTTCAGTGTTGTCTATTTCATTATTATAGTCTTTTTGAGTCAGAAGGTCTTCGAAATATTCTCTCCACCTGTTCATAACCCCCACCACTCCCTACCATTGACATTATACTATTAGAAAAAAATAAATTGAAGGCATCCATGCATGTCTCAATATTTTGACTTTTCTTAGTTAGACCTACGTTTTTCTGTAATAAATTACATGCCAATGTCTTATTTTTTTTTGGAGCTAAATAACGCCATGTTCGTCCTTCGCACAAAACATCAGATACGCTAGATCTTTCACTATCTATATTTTCAGAAGTTGTCGCTAAAACTTCCTCATTCTCGAGTTCAGTAATTGATAAATTACCTTCATGTGCTTCTGGCTCACAACCGTCATTATCACTAGCTTCACTATTGCTTTCATCCAGCTCTGCAACATCATCTAAACGGCTAAAAAACATTAGATATGTAGATGACACCATAGTATTTGCGGACAACTTAGAAGACCTACAAGATCTTATGAATAAAATCACGTATTACAGTCAACAATATGGACTCAATATAAACATTAAGAAGACCCATAAGATTAGAGCAGGCATCGAAAAAGCTAGATCCACCTTTATTCGAATGGTTGCCTTCTTCAAGAGTCACAACCTCCCTCTTAATACAAAACTAAGAATACTGCGATGCTACGTCTTCTCTCTCCTTTTTATGGTGTTAAATTGTGAACCTTAAATGAAGATATGTGCAGAAAAGTGGAAGCATGTAAGATGTGGCTATATCGAAGAATACTTACGATCCCGTTGACTGACCGAGTCACAAATGGGAAGGTCCTCAGAAGAATGAATAAGAACCAAGGAGTACTGACCAGTATCAAATCTCGAAAGTTATAATTCTTCGAACATACTATTCGAAATGAATCCAGATATGCTCTTCTTTAAGCCATCTTGCAATAAAAAATATTTGGAAAACGAGATTCAGGAAGAAGAAGAACATCTTGGCTAAAGAACCTTAGAATCTGGTTTAATACAACATTTGTGAAGTTTTTCCTCGCTGCTGCAGATAAGATAAAAATTGCCATGATGATCGCCAACACTCGGATAGGCACATCAAGAAGAGAAGACAGTAGGTACCTTTAGTAATAAGGAAATTTGAGAGTAAAACCAGCATTAAAACAAAATAATTACAATAAGTAGATTTACCGCGTCAAATAACCGATCATTAAAATATCATATTGTTAACAAGATTGTTGGGCTAACAGCAGACAACAGAAATACTTGCTGAAAATGGATGTATGAATGTAATGTTCGCTACTTGAACTGCTACTCTCAGAGACATAGTTCGAAATAAAAAATTAAGAAGGATAGGAGTCACAGAGAAGGAGAGGTCATCGAGCCCATAGCAAGACTGAAGTGGAACTGAGCAGGCGATGTGGTCAGAATGAATGAGTGAGAGAATGAGAGTGGACGACGTCAAAAGAATCGGTAAAAATTGGCTGCAGGAAGCTTTAGATCGACAGAACTGAAAGAAATTAGTGAAGGCTTATGTTCAACTTTGGACGCAGAAGGCTGGATAATGATGATGAAGCAGCAATCAGTGGATGATATTGACACAGAACAGAGAATACCACCCAGGAATATGTGGATAAAGATTGACGAAGAAATATAGACGTTCAGTAGCCTATAGATGTTAAACATAAGTAATAAAAAAAAATAAAGATCAATTTAGGACATTTTAAAGAAACAAACCTACAAAAGGAAAGTATATGAACCGTTAGAAGAACAAGACGAAACCTAAATATTCCGAAGAAATAGTAATGATATAATATTAATATCCTCAACAATCAGTGTGGTTTTGTACGACTTATAAAGGAATATATCCAAAGATTAGAGAATATCTAAACACAAAAGAAAAAGTATTACAATAAAAACCGATAGAAATACGAAAGAGTGGAAGATCCAGAACGAAATGATTGCATTACGCAGAGGACGACTTTATAACAAAAAACCTAAGAGACTACAGAAAGACCAAGCTAGTGGGTCTTTGCCTAGTGAATAAAAATGTGTGAGTTCAGAGTAAGATCATGTTCTAATATTTATGTTGTATTTATATGCCTCTTTTAGTGTGTATTTTTATTTGGAAATTATTTTTTAGGAAATGGTCTGGAAAGCAAAAGCTAACATGTGCTTAAAAGATACCACTGAGTTGCCTGTGTTAATAAAAAATGTAAAATTTCATAACATGATTACCTTACCAGATAATGAAAATGTGGAATTCGTAGTAACCATTATAAAAGAAAGTGGAAACTTTGAGATATTTTCTGGTGACATATCAGTAGCCACAGGAAATATTTGTATTCTTGAAAATGACGGTAAAAAACATAAATCATTTATCAAAGAAATTAATAAGAAGGATACTATAAACTTAAGAAAAGAGGATTTTTACAAAGAGGCTCATTTGAGACGACATCTTTACTACGGCAAGTTTCAGGGGATTGTTGAATGTGACCTTAGTGGTGTACAAGGAAAAATTGAGTGGATGGATAACTATGTTAGTTTTATCGATTCCATGTTTCAGTTATCACTATTATCAGAGTGTACTCGAAATCTTTCAATACCAACTAGCATACGAAGGATAGAGCTAGATCCAAAAAGTCATATTAAAGATGCAAATGATAACTGTAAGTAAAATAATTTTGAATTTAAAAGATATCCAAGAAATAGTCCATATTTAAAACACACTAATCAGAAAAATACAGTTTTGTCGCAAAGTTTTGTTGAATTAATCTTTACACTGAATCCAAAAATAATAAAGGTTTTTGTTATCGTATACCTACGAATTGTTTTTTTTTTCTGACAGTTAAATACAAATAATAAAGTAAAAAAACATACAGAAGTTAAAACAATTTACAATTGTATTTAGGTATAAAAAATATATAGTTAAAACTTTTGAAAAGTGTCGTCAAAATTTATAGAGTAACATAACGTTTCGATCTAATCAGATCATCTTCAGTGCCTTCTTATATAGTGGAAGATAACACTAAATTTGTGGCTGTGACATCCATAGATGGGTTTACATTATTCCAAATTTAAATTATATTGTGACTCAAGGTCGATCATATTGGATAAAAATTATTACTTGAGGAGCTACATAGGTAACATATTCCTTGTAGTTGTTGTCTTTACAGTTTCCCAAGAAAATTTTGACCACATTTTTTAAACAGGTTCATACTTTTTTATCAAGTCCTCAAGTCTGCTTTCGAAATTGTTATTTTTCTTTCAAATCTCGTACATATTTCTGAACCTACAAAGATTCCGTCTTTGCTTTTCGCATCTATTAGTCAAGTAAATTTTCTATTAAGTACAACTTAACAATTCTTATCGATAGCTTTAAGCAAAGTTTTTCATCAATGCTTACTTGATATACAGTGGTGACAGGTGTAGATATTTAGGATCGATCAAAGAAATGTTTTTAACATTTTCCTTTTCAACTTAAGAGGATTTTAACATGTTTCTTACCAGCTTCAGGAACTTAGGCCATGATTTCTTTGTATAATGGCTTTTGCGATCCCAGCTGTCTCATTCGCATAGTAACATGCAAGCCATATACCTTAGCAAATGCCTCCAAGCCAAGTAACATAACAATTACTTTGAGATCTCCACATGAGTTCTATCTGGATCTATCACACTGGATATTTTGTATTGTCCCTATCTTCTATCTTCGGGTGTATGTCCAAAACCTAAAATGTTCATTACTGCTGAAATTATTATGATACACTAACTTTCCTTGGGAGAAAAAATCCTCAAAATCTTCTAGCCGGTTTCTAAGGTAACATATTTTAAAACATTTGCCAAGTAAGTTCAAACCATTAAGGCGCGATCTTAACATTTCCGCTTCTGTAAAGATTTTGTATATCATTATTTCCTTCTTGATTTAGTTCACATATGTGTGAGCCCATTTTTTGTCCTTGTCGCCCACCTTTAAGCCAAAATAAAGTTCATAACACTTCTTCAGCAAAGAAATAAAAAATTTTCTTTGCGATTTAAAAATGAACTTACCACACATAAAACTTATCTGGCTGTGTTACTGTAAAAAACTTCTTATTCTAGCTTTTATATATACTGGAATAATCGATGAGGTGTTATACACTATATTTTGTAGGCGTTTTGAGAAAAAAGTCCATCGGCGTCAAGGCCGGAGATGTTTGGGGTCCATTTATGTATGATTACCAAAATGTTGGTTTAAGATTGCTGTAGTTGAAGTAAAAAACGTCGAGGGGGGGCTCCATACAACTCCATCCACATTTTCTGTTATTATTTAAAATATTAAGTTTTAAATTTGAGTAACGTATAACAAGATTTAATGTAAGATTTTTCCTAACTGTAAATTTTAATTGCAATTTGGACTAAAGAACTTTGGTTAAAAAATATAAGAGAAATTCTTTTGTGTGCGGTATACACTGCTAGTGACCAATTTAGTGTTATTAACTAACAAAATATTTTTACTTTTTAGATTTGGAAGTCACCAGAGATCCTGACCTTTGCATAACAAAATGCGGAGGTATACAAATCCAGGGTCTTAAATTCACACAACTTCCTCGAAAAACCATTCCAAATTCAAATCTGTTGCTAGAAAAATTCGAGTTTGTTGCCTATGATGCCCCACAAAACAAATATTACACATTGAACACTTCTTTAGCGATAGCTATGCAAATAATAAAGCAAAATAGTAACGGCCTTATCAAGAAATTAACCATCGGGGAATTAAAGGACAATGAAGATTCTAACCTAGAGCTGACAGAGAAAATTAAAGCAGTTTTAAAGAATCAAGTCATGGCAGATATTGAATTTTTAATTACAACACCAACTCAAATAAAAACGATAAAAACCAAATTCGAAACTATTATAGTTTCAGCCGAAATGTTCGAACAATTTCACTCAAATATACTCATAGAATACTTAAGAGATGATGGGTTCATTTTGTGCATTGGGTTCATAAAAAGAGAAAATTTATTTCAACACGAAATAATATTTAGAACCGAACACCTTTGTCTCGTAAGGAAAAGAACAGATTTTCCTAATTCGTATAATACGGTTAATATACGAACTGAAGATTTCGGATGGTTGAACAAACTAAAAACATGTATTCGAAACAAACAACAAAAAACTGTTTTCATATTTAGTCAACATGAAGATCATTCTGGTAAGTATATAAACCTGGTGTAAATAATATGTATACAGAGTGGCCCAAAAGTCTGGAAACGGCTAATTATCTCGTAAATTACTAGACACAATTATACAAAATTTGAGATACGCCTATATTGGGATACGATGATTCCATATTTGGTATTTGCAATGTTGCCAGATTTTCATTTTCTCTTATATTACTAGTAACTTTGGTTTTTCAAATACATCACCCTGTATATTCAGTCATTATTGGAATCTGCTATTAAATATGAGTTCAACCATATGTAACACTTATGATTTTATGTAGTCTGAAAGGTCTTAAATACATAAAACAGAAGTCTGGCAACGCCTAAATTGTTTCAATACATTTTTTAATACTGACTATTTTCTAATACATTAAAACGTAACAATTGATAGTTTAGAATATTTTTTAAAATAGTAGTTACGTTATTAAGTGTTTAAAATGTGCTCAATTTGTGAGTTGACAGCACCCTAATCGATGGTAGAAGGCGTCTACCACATCTTTTTTAATTTATGTCTTTGTAATTTCTTCTTTTTACACATTTACATTATTTTAGGTATAATAGGCCTTCAAAAATCACTTCTTGTGGAAGTGACCAATCCAGAATTTAAAGCAGTATTTACTGACAAGGAAGCTGATATATTTTCAGTCGACGACGAATTCTATAGAGAGCAGCTATGCAAAGGTCTAGCATATAACGTACTAAGAAGCAATAAGTGGGGCACATACGTACATTTGCCCCTTGAAGGTGTAAAGTTAATGCGGGCGGAAAACGCTGAGATTCGATATCGCAGCTCCGATACATCTACACTTCTTTGGATGGAAAAACCGGTTATAAACGTACCGTGAGTATTGTTTTTTTAAGTCAGTTCAACTGCCGATATTGATAAGATTTTTTGTGATCTCTAAGCTGATATTTTCTCACTAAGTCTATCTTAAATCCATTTTTCTATTGGTTCTTTATAAAGGTAAACATCTCCGTATCGTGAGATTGATTACTGGCGTAATATTTTTCCACAACTAACAATTTTTTCTTCACTTTTTATTATTAAGGCCCTTTTATATAATTTTTTTTTTGTGCTTTTTTTATACTATTCTTTACTTTTCTTATTAGATTAAGTGCCTATGCTATCTTAAGTGTCTTAAAAATAGTCACAGTGCAGTTTTTTTATGACGACTAATGTTTCTTCGCTTCTTTGACGATTTGTCTCGATGCTCTTACTTTTTTTATGTCATTGAATCAATCATTTATTCCTTTATACTCTCTAATATTTAAACTTCATTTCCTGTCAGATAAAGTTTTCCTATATTTACTACCATAGCTGTAGGTATACACAATACATCTATAGTAACGTATGGCCCCACGTTGGGCGCCAATATTTCTGAATTCACATTTAAGTAACATCATATGTGAGTTGTCTATTATCAAAGGCGGCAATCTCCATTTTTTTGTCAAACTGAGTTAAATTACGGAATGTACAGGTTAACTTAAGTCCTTTCAGAAAAACATTTCTGTCATTATCATAGTCGACTATAAATAAGTGTAATTACATAAACAAAATATCATTCAGTTTCGAAAACGGACATAAAATATGAATATTACTTTCAAACATGGCAATCTCCCTCTTAGCCAATCAGACGGCTCGCTGTGATTCACATGATGTTATTTTATAACCATACTTTTTAGTTATTTAAATAACTAAAACAAACGGTGTTTGGTTTTGTCAATTTATATTTGTATAATAAATTATCACAAATAATAATGGAACAACAAGCTGTTAAATTACCACCAACTAATTGTAGAAAACGTTCTAGAGAGCCTGAAAACTGGAAAGTAAATAAGCAGAAAAAATTAAGGTAACTAATATGAGTCACGTAGTGATATGAGTTTTATAACGTAATTTTTTTTTAGATATTCGTCCAAAAATCTACCAGTGTTTCCAACATGTGGCCACAATAATATTTACCAATGTGCAACATTATCAATGAGAGACATAATGGCATTTCATCAGTCCTTTTATGAGTTTAAAGATAAGCTTAAACAAGATAACCTTTAATTAAGTTATTAAGCTTAGACAAGATAAGCTTTAATTATGAAATATTGTGCAATTGAAAATGTTCGTAGACATAGACCAAAAAATCAAAATAATACGCAAAAACAACATACAATCAAATGCTTTATACGCCGAGAATCTAATGCTGTAATAAGAGTTTGTCAAAAAGCATTTTTGGAAATTTTAGGAATTACTAAACATAGATTATCGTATGTTATGAATACGTTTGTCAAGTCTGGAGGAACTCCTCGGGAGAACAGAGGCGGCGACAGAAAATCAACACTTTTTCAGGCCAAAAAAGATTCAATCATAAATTTTATTATTTCTTTTAAATGCATAGAGTCGCACTACTGTAGAGGTACAACTCAGCAAAGACAATATTTGCCGTGTGATTTAAATGTGAAAAAGTTATATAAAATGTACCAAGAATCTGTATCAGAAAATGTTGACTTACGTGTAAAGGCATCATATTTTAGAAAAATATTTAATACCAACTTTAATATTGGATTTGGTACACCCCAAAAGGATGCCTGCTCCACCTGTATAAGCTTGACAAAAAAAATTAAACAAGAATGTGATGGTGCTAAAAAACAAGAGCTTTTTAGAGAAAAAAAGCACAAGCTTTTTACAGATATCTTAAAGAAAAAGATGAGAATGTTATTATTTTCAGTTTTGATTTTCAAAAAAACCTAGTACTTCCAAAAGTGGCGGATCAAACAGCATATTACAGCAGGCAACTTTATATTTACAACTTTTTAATGGTTCAAGGTTCCTCCAAAGACCAACTGAGTCAACAAAATGTATTTTCATATTATTGGACTGAGGATGTGCATAGCAAGGGATCCAATGAAGTAAGCTCAGCAGTTTACCACAGACTTAATGCGACAAATTTTGGAGATGCAAAGATATTAAGGTTGATAGCGGATGGATGTGGAGGCCAAAATAAAAACACGATTGTTGTTACTATGATTAACAAATGGTTCCATGAGACTAGGTCATCTATCGAAAAAGTGGAATTAATATTCCCTGTGGTTGGTCACTCTTTTATGCCTCCTGATCGGGTAGCAGGATTAATTGAGAGAGATATAAGAAAAAAAAATACTATTATTTCACCTGCGGAATATACCAGTGTTTTTAAACAATTTGCCAGCGTAATTAATGTTGAAAAAGATGTGCCTGTATACGACTGGAAAAATGTCACGGAAACTTGTACCAAACGTCCTAGTGCATGGCATTTTCAATTTAATCCAGCAAAACGTTTCATATTTACTAAATCTCAGCGAGAAAATATATTAGTGCAAGGAGAAGTATCTTACAGAATAGAAGTCGGTAAACCCAAAGGAGTTCTAAAAAAAGGCGTAACACCTGCTAATATTAAACCAACAGTAATCCAACCCCGATTAGTGACTCCGAATCCTTTAAAATTAAAGGATGTCGATAATTTGTTAAAAAAACATTACGGGGAAAACTGGAAGGAAGATAAAAGATTATGTTATTTTGGAAATATCATACACCCATCAAATCCTCAAACTTCTGAGAACAATACTCCAAATGAGAACAGTTACTGTGCCTTAGACAATAGTGAAGAATTTTTTATATAACTTGTAGAGAATAAAGCATTTTTGTCAATTTACAACTGTCTTTAATTTTATCTTTATTCTATATACACATACATAATTATAAATAATTGTATAATAATAATTGTTTAATACAATATTCCATGATCAGATATATACAATACTTGATATCAAAAACAGCAATCTCCACTACGTTTGGTTTCATAACAGGAAAACTCCAAACTTGACTATCAAACTCGGAAATCTCCATTCTATTTTCACGAATTTTTGATTTAATTTTAACCAAAACAAGTTACAAATAACGAAAATCGTTACAGCAAATCCAATGTTACGACCTGTCAAGAAATTTTTAATAGCAGTAAGTGATAAGTTGACAATATGATTTTTACCTCACTGTGGAAAATGTCATTGTGAGGAGATTGCCGCCTTTGATATTAGACGACTCATGTAAAAGTTGATATGATGAAGCAGTGAGTTTTTGTTTTCATGTATTATTGGTTTTAATAATTAAGAATATTTTAAATTATTTTATAAAAACTTATAAATGCTGGACTCGCGTATTCCTGCGTAGAGCTTTAAGTGGTCATATCTAGTTATTTTATACTATGATATACGTAGCTCAGTTATTGGCTTAACAAGCTGGAGGACCCATATAAACTCAAAAGGTTACACAAACTTTTAGTTTATGTTTAATTTTATTTTGTTTTAGAAAAGAACAAGTGTCGAATATTGTAAATCTATACTATTCGACTTTTAATTATCAACATATAATGCAATCTTCACCCTACACCTTTGGATATGCTGGTAAAAAACCCAACGGTACGAGGGTAATGGGCATAGCTTTCAAGGAGCGCATAAGTATACAAATTAAAAACGATGTGGACTTTACGTGGGACGTTCCAAACTATTGGACCCTAAAACAGGCAGCTACTATACCTCTTCATTATATAACGGTAATAATAGTTTTTACACTAAGATTGTTATTTACTTCTGTAATTATTTTTGTTTTTTCCAAGTAACGTCTTGAACACCGTGTTTTTTGTTAATAAAGAGAAAGTCAATTTCGTTATTGTTCAAGCCATTTGGTGAATGCCAAGTCCAGTTTTTTGGAGGCTTTTTTTAAAATGGGTGTTTGACATATAGTCTGTGTTGCAGAAGAAATTCTATACGATTTTCACCCCTTTCATTTCTGTCACCATATCCGTGAGGTCCAATTACATACACCGAATCGATCCTGCTTGTGGCCCATTTTTGCGTTTAGGTCTCCCATCAGTATGGTATAGTTGGTGGTTACCTCTTCTATAGCAGTGTTAACGTCATCGTAGAACCATTCAACTGTTTCGTCTATGTGGGCACTGGTAGGTGCGTATACCTGGATGATCTTTAATCGAATGTTTTCGTTTACTTTGTAGATAAGATAAATAACTCTATCACTTATGCTTTTAATTTTATTCTTCGTGTGTTTTTAAGAAGTTTTAAGAGAAGTCCGATCTCAGTTAAAAGAAGCCAAACTTGCTCAACAACAAAGCCTACCGATAATGAAGCTCATCGAACCAGAAGAACTTGAAGAAGCTCTAAAATTAATGAAATGTCGTAAAGCCGCAGGAGTTGACAACATTTATCCTGAATTTTTAAAACACATTGGTCCGAATGCCAGAAAGTGGCTTCTTGAATTCTACAATCAAATACTAACTAAGCAGAAGTTTCCAAAATCCTTCAAAAAAAGTAAGATCATCGCAATATCTAAACCTGGGAAAGACCCTGCATTACCTGAGAGCTACAGACCAATCGCTCTTTTAAGCGTCTGCTACAAGATTTTCGAGAGGATAATCCAAACGAGACTATTTTACTTTACAAAGTCAAATATTCCTAAAGAACAAGCTGGATTCATGCCGGGAAGAAGCTGTGGCGACCAAGTCCTCTCCTTAACAACATTTATTGAGAACGGATTCCAAAAGAAACTGAAAACAGTAGCAGCATTCATAGACTTGACCTGCGCCTACGACACAGTATGGAAAGAGGGCCTTTTATATAAAATATACCAGATGTTACCGTGCCGTGCGTTCAACAGGTTGTTAAACCAAATGCTAAGTGACAGACTTTTCCAAGTACGCCTAAATGGGAAAAATAGTAACTTCAGAAACCTGCAAAACGGCTTGCCACAAGGGTCAGTTATGTTTCCTCTACTTTTTAATATTTATACGTCAGATGTACCAACTACCACCTCGCGCAAATTTATGTATGCCGATGACATGGCTTTGGGTGCCCAAGAAGAAGACATAAACATCGCCGAATACACCATAGAAGCAGATCTAAACACTTAACAGATACTTTAAGAAATGGGGCCTACAACCAAACCCATCGAAAACTGAAGTAACAGCTTTCCACCTAAACAACAACAAGGCAAATTACAGACTAAACATAGAATGCGATGGAACCAGGCTAAAGCACAGTGCTAACCCAAAATACCTCGGCGTAACTCTAGATCGTACCCTAACATTCAAAAAGCATTTGGAAAACACTTCAGCAAAAATTAAGACCCGCAATAATATTATCCATAAGTTAGCAAATACATCATGGGGGTCGAATGCAGAGGCAATAAGAACGAGCGCGCTGTCCTTAGTATATCCTACTGCAGAATATTGCGCTCCTGTCTGGCTAAACAGTCATCACACAAAAGTCATAGATACCCAGTTAAATCAAACAATGAGGCACATAACGGAAACTATAAAGCCCACACCAACCCAGTGGCTTCCAGTTTTAAGCAACATCGCTCCACCAGCAACAAGACGACTAGCCGCACTCAACACTCAAGTTCAAAAATGCCAACAAAACCCAGAACTACCGATAAACACAAACATCGCTGAACTACACCAAAGGCAGTTAAGACTGAAATCCAGACATCCACCTACTAGAACTGCTTCAAAATTGGCTGTTTTCACTACCGAAGAGCACTGGATGGGCGAATGGAATCCAGACATCAGAAATTCCAATCTGATAGAAAACCCCACAATCAAACCAGACGGCTTTTCTCTTTCCCGTCGTGAATGGTGCAACCTAAATAGAATACGAGTTGGTCATGGAATTTGTAACAAATCGCTGAATCAATGGGGTATAAATGCCAGCCCGGAATGTGTGTGGACAAAAGTACCATGTGTTCTTCGCCTTTTCGCCGTACATCAGATAATCCAAATATATCCCATTTTATATGCTTCAGCTGTTTTTCAAGTTACTTAAGTTTTTCGTCCTCCATCAATATTCTGGTGTTATATGTTGCTGTAAACCATATTCTTTGCCGTTGTCGTTTGTATAGGTAACCTGGTCCACTACTCCAGAGATTCTTAGCAATCTCTGTCCCTCTACCTCCGTGACTGCTACCATAGTCTAGTTGGCCTGTGCGGGTTTGTAAAAGGATCTTAGGATGGGTTAGGACATTTTGGAGTCTTTGACAAGGATGATAGGTTTTGACGTGATACCCTCTCGGTTAAAGGAAGTGAGGGTGAACCACGGCTTACGTAGGCAAGGCAGGATCGCCCCGGCAAAGGCAATAACGACAGCCAAATGATACGATAAATTTAGTGATAACGTGTATGACTCATTTCATTTTTTAGTTGCTAGGTGTTCTCAATACTGTCAGTGGTATGATGAATTTCGGGAGATATTATTGAAAATATAAATACATTTACACACTCTTTTAAATGTATATTCACGACTTTGAATAATTTTAGGCATATTATGTTTTGCTGGAAAAAGGTAAGATTGGAAAGAATAATTCTTTATTGCTACAAAATGGTGCCACTGAAATCGGAATTGCAATGATTGCAATAGCTCTTAGCTTTAGAGCTACTATCTTTATAAGTGTTAACTCAGAGGAAGAAAAATCTAGCCTCATTCAACTATATCCCTTACTAGATCCAAGTAAAATAGGTGAGTGTAAGATCTATATTTAGTTTTTTATTAAAAAACATATCTTTAACACGGCACAGTGTTACAAAAGGCCCTGTATATTATTGTAACTTATTTTTTATTTTCTATTTTTGTAAATAACTGTTTTAGGTATCTTCTTAAATAATAGATATAACGGATTTTGTCACAAAAATTGATTACCCTTTATGTTTATAGTGACTTAATGGGAGATTCATTCAATATGGCTTTACCAGTAGTTTTGACTCAATCCCCAATAAAAATTTTATTTTTATACGATTAAAAAAGACCGGACAAAAACACAACTGATGTACTTTCTTCTACCTTTTTCAGCCACTTCAAGTGAAACAATCCAAGATATAGTTTTAGAGCAAACAAAAGGGAGAGGTGTTGATTTGGTAATTAATTCAGTCGGAGGAATATTCATCGAAAATTCTCTAAACTGTTTAACAAAGCAGGGCAAGTTCGTACAACTCATCGACCAAAATAATTTTGACGAAATAAAGTTGGATTCAAACATGATCCAACAAAACTTCAATATTTATTGTATAGATATAAATTCTATATTCGAAGAGGATCTTTACGTTAAACAAAAGCTCAAAAAATTACTAGAAGAAGGTAATAAATACATCGATATGATTTTTTTTTATGTGTGTTTTGGCTTGGACAATTGTCATTCAGCCAGTCTCAATCAAGATAAGTTTATTAATGTAGTGTGTGTGTGTGTGTTTGGGTGTGTAGAGTAATTGTCTTGATACTTAGCAAAGTCGACGTCATTGTCTTTGCTAAGAGACGCTAATTGTATCCGAACGTCTGCGGTCCCTCCGGTGAGTACCGATCACACAAGGATAGAAATTATTTTCATTTATTAATTTTTTTAATAAACGAAAATTTCCACCCAGGTGGGATTCGAACTCACGACCTTTAGGTTTAAAGGCAGGCGCTCTTACCACTGAGCCACAGAGGGGGTAATCGATATGATAAATTCTGAAACTAGCCAATTTTTTGTAATATTTTCTGTATCTTTGATCAGTGGTTCTCAAACTTTTTTAGTCGCGGCACCCTTATAGGGCTAAATATATTTTGAGGCACACGAACCCTTGAAGCGATTTGGGAATCGACAAAAATTAAACAATCTGAGGCTCATTTGATTTTAATATAAACTTTATGTCTGATCAATAAAATACAGTACATTTGATATTCAAATATCCTTACTTAATGTGATGAATGAAACTGTTTTGATGATGTTTTCATTATATCCTTTATAACTATCGGCATCTTTGTAAGTTTGACCCTCAAATCCTTTGATGTCTGCAGTTTGCTTTTAATTGTTTTTTTATTTGTTTTTAATGTAAGCAGATGCGGAGAAAGAAGATTCACAGAGATAAGTTTTTTCACTGCAACCCTGCCAACAACATTATTTTCTGAATAGTCCTGCATCCAGGGGTTTTCTTCACGGTTTTTAAGTTTTAAACTGCTATCTTTGCTGCTAGCATGCTTTAAAAAATGTACCTTTTTTACGCAAGGCTTTAATTTTATCTAATTGTGCTCCCTCTTTGCCTTCAAGCCAAGTGGTGGTTTTATTTATTATTTTAAAGATGTCTAAAAGGTATCCCAATTTTAGCAGCCAATTGATATCTTTTAATTCTTGAATGAAAAACTCATCCGTAAATGTGATAATCAGTGGATCTTTTAGTTCAAATATTCTCCCTGAAATTGTTCCAGTCGATAGCCACCAGACCTCTGTGTGGTAAGCGGTGAGCTTTAAAAGGCGTGCTTGAAGCAGACCGCTCTTTATATGGTCAATTATTTACACAGCACCGTTCAATACGTCTTTCAAATGCGGCATCTCTTTAGTTTTCAAAGAATGGCGATTTAAGATACAATGACTGCTGGAGACACTTTCTGCCACTACCTTTATTTTAGACACCGCCCCTCAAATTTTCCCAACCATTGCAGCCGCTACATCACTGCAAATATCCACACATTTACTCCACTTTATATCATTTTTTCTTATATACTTGTGGATAATGTGGATAGCCTTAAAAATTTCTTTACCAGTGGCATAACTTTTAAGCTCTTCACACATAATGGGTTCTTCTTCTATTTTCGTCCCGAATGGAAACCTCACAAACACAAGCAGAACAGCAAGTCCATCAACGTACGTACTTTCATCAAGCTGTAAACTCAAGAATTCACAAGTTTTTAATCTATTTAAAAGCTCTCTCTCTACAAAGTCTGAAATAGTGTGAATTCTCTTGCTTATAGTGCTGTTTGACATTTGCACATTATCAATCTTCGTGGTCATATCTGGACCTAACATGCAATGGTATGGGAGTTTTCCAGCTTTTGCAATGTGCAAAGCAGCAATAAATGATGCTTCAGTGTCGTTTTTGTTTTCGTTTTTGCATATTCTTTCCATTATGCCGGTGGATCTCTTCCTGCCTGAAGAGATGAAGCACGACGTTTGAATATTTCTTCAGCCTTATTGACTAAACCAGGATGATTACTTTCCAAATGTCTTTTAATTTAGATGGAACTAAGCACCCATTAGAAACAATTTTGTGACAAATTGGCCTTCTGGAGCCTGTTCATCGCCAACTTAAATTAAGCCATATAACGTGAGATAGCTAGGGTCATATCTTCTTATTTTTCCCCGAATTTTATTATGGTACCTCCTTTCCACGAATTGAGGGGGAACAACTTGGATAGGAAGCCACTTGGATTCGAATAGATCTCGTAGACATTTGCATCTTCTCCATATCTGCTAGTTTTCATTGAATCTGTTGATTCAGATGCTTTAGTGACTTTACTACATTTCCTTTTCAAAGGCCCAGATTTCAGCCAATTTTCCATTATTATGGAATGAAAAAAATGTCCCAAATAAAAGAGGACAGAACATTGCCAACAATGCCAACATTGCCAACAATTAAAAGTATTTTCCAACCGTAATAGTGCAAGACATATGGCAAAAATAGTAACAAAAGTACATAATAGTACACATTTTAATTATAATGAATATAATTACATACATCGCCACTTTTCTTTTACAGTTATATCTAAAACTTTCACTTTAAAATCTAACTCTAATTTTGACAAAACTCATTTATCAGCTGCAAGAATTAAACTGTGGAATGAATGTAGGTAGCAGTTGCGTCGGTCCAATTCGGCTGTTTGTTTCCCGGTCTCAATCAATAATACACGAGTACAAATAGTGAACATGTTTCGATTGGACAGTTTGAGAACCTCTGTCATAGATACTATTAAAGATGTTTCATAACTGTTTTTACCCATGGTATTAACAGAGTAAAAATTGTAATACTAAATATGGGTTCATTTATAAATATATTTTAATTTTTTAGGTATCACGTATAAAGTAGTAAAACCTCTGCCATCCATTGTCTTCAACGCTACAGAAATAGAAACAGGAATAAACTACTCAGAAAAAAGCAAAGAAACAGTTCTAATAAAACTTCGCGGGGAAACATCTTCAAAAAAAGAGAAGCTATCAGTACATCCAAAGGTGTTTTTTAAACCTAACAAAACTTATATTATAGTCGGCGGCTTGGGTGGTATTGGCTTAGAATTGACAAGCTGGCTAATCAAAAACGGCGCCACAAAGATAGTGTTAAATGGACGCAGAGATGTTTGGAATGGTTACCAAGCACTTTGCTTTAAAAAATGGTCGCAAATAAAAGATGTTATTGTGCAGGTTGATTTAAATGATACCACTACACTAGTTGGAGCGGAAAATCTTATTAATGCTGCTTACAAGCTAGGTCCAGTTGGAGGTAGGCTGTCTTTTTTATGCAGGTTTACATATTTCTTTTCAATTTGTATATTTGATTTAATTAACATTTAGAGTTTATAACTAAACAAAACATAGACAGTGTTTGAGGTACATAAAATGAAAGGGCACGAGTTGCTCAGAGTCGGAAGAGATATTGAGGGGGTTTTTACGATCTTCTTACTACCAAAACAGAAAATAAGGAAACAGAAAAATAGAAGATAATAGCTATTAGAACTAAACCAAAGATTTTGAATAAATAAAAACATTATTAAACAAAAAAATAACTTGCCATAAAGTGCACCTTCAATTTTTTTTTTGATAAAGTTTCTTAGAATTGAATATATAAAAGATAATATTATTAAATATAGAATACACACTTATAATAAACAATGTTATTAACCAAAATATGCACCCCGTTAAAGTTTTGAAAACTAATTTACTATTATTAGTGCCAATTAGAGAATCTTAAATAAATAACACTTAATGAACGTGTTAATAAATTTATTTGAACAGAAAAATGTGACCTATATTTCTGTAAAATACACACGATTAAGTTTGAATTTTAAATGGATCGATCGCCGATCATTTAATTCGATCATGGAAACATTTTTACATAGTCTAAAATTTTAAATATTAATTAGTAAATAATAAAAACATATTTCATTCGTAAAAAAATAAACAGCTTTCCTTTAAAATAGAAAAATAAAATAAAAAGAGAAATCATACGATTTCTACCTGGCGAAATCGAATTCAAATATAAGCCACCGTGCCCCCTAAAACTTGCGAAGCAAACAGCTTGATGAATGAATCGGCAAGGGAGTCTAAAAATTGCACTCCAAATGCCGTTCATCATGGCCTATATTCGTAGTGAATTCGATTTCTGGTACTCCAAATGAAGTAAATAAACAAAACTAAATGATGGTATTAGATTTTGATTTGATACAGAGCAGCAACAAGCCGCATATACGTATTTCGATCTCTTTAGATCTCCTCAGTACGGTATAGTTACTACTCCATATCAAACCAAAATATTTTCCCGTCGTAGATTATAGTTATTAAAAATAACGATTTACGGACGTAACTACGCCATCTAAGAACAAAAAGAGAAATCATACGATTTCTACCTGGCGAAATCGAGCGAATTCATTTATCAAGTTGTTTGCTTCGCAAGTTTTAGGGGGCACGGTGGCTTATATTTGAATTGTATTAGAGATAAATATCTATTAATAAAATTACAATATAAATAAACACTAATCCAAAATATAGTATTTTATATTTTAAAAAGGATGCTTACCTGCGTATATTTTTGCAGTTTTTTTAATTCCAAAGGGACTTGCGTTTTCTACTGAAACATCAGTGTTATATCGTTTCTTTGCGTCATGTTTTGGATTCCATAAACTGGATAATTTATTTAATTTCTTTGCTTAATAAAATTAAAAATTTTGAACTAGTATTTGATAGCATTATTATTTTCAGGAGTTTTTAATGCAGCAATTATTTTACAAGACGCCAATATAGTAGATCAAACGCAGGAAAAATTCGAGGCCGTTTTTAAACCAAAATATATTTCTGGCCGAAATATGGACACAGTTACAAGAAAGTTTTGTCCACAGCTGGATCATTTTGTTGTGTTTTCAACAGTATTTGCAGGCAGAGGAAATATGGGTACATAAATCTATATATTATATTATATTATATTAAATTCATAATTTTGTTTGTGATAGAGTTTGAAAAAATCACAGAACACTATATTTAATTGAAGAAATAATTAGTACTCTTAGGACATATAGATCGGTGTCGGGTTTAGCTATCCTTCTCCAAGTACATTGTGAAATGTTGGAGGACATATGTAAAAAAATCTGTTCAATTAATTTCCAAAATGTGTCCAAGGTGTGTGTTTATATGACAGAGTCTATCTGCAACGAAATTTTCCAAAAAAATATGTGTGTTAAGATACAAGTAATAGAGATTTTGATTATAGTTTGTTGTTGAGATCAAATTGTGCTGTGAACATGAGGTGTGCGAATTATTTAATGACAAATATCCAGAAAAGGGGATTTACAAATCACTTACAGTACAGTTATCAGGAAATTTAATTCAAGTGAGGGCATCAAAAATTTAGCCAAATCAGGATGGTTAAGTACGAAGAGCGAAATGCTATATTAGAATGCTATATTGAGCATTGGTAAAAATATTCATATTCGCTCTTTAGGTAACAATTTTAGGTTGTTAAAATGGACAGTTTACCAAAAATTTAAAAAATCAAGATTGGTATTCCTTGTAGGTCAATATCATGCAAAAATTATGTGCAAATGACACTGACAGAAGACTTTCATTTCTCTTTTAACAACATCAAGATTTCAAAGAAATTTTTCCTTTTAACAATTCTGATTAACTCGTTAAGATGGATTAATTTTTGAATTGTTTTTTCTTTGCCATTTCAATAACGGAGTGGTCAGTATCACACTCCATATGTGTATGACCACTAACCAAAAATTTGTGGTTGATCTTCAGGTTTTCTTCTTGACTGGGAAAATGAAGAAACATTTATGCAACGACATTATTTTTATTCTGACCATCACACGTATTGTAAGAAATGATTAAACCATAAGGTGATTTCATTGGCTCCCCTGTCAGATATGGTTTTATCTTACAAGTAGCACGTTGCTTTATCTGGTACCACGTCATGCACCGTGAGGTTAAAGCTCCACATCTGCCTCTTGTAGAAAGAAACTTAGATCGTAAGATAAGGGGTAGGCAGGCACTGTGTTTCAAGTGAAATGTAAAAAGTTTTCCTGATAACAATTTAATTTGTACATTAAAATTGTTACATTTGTCCTGCTGTGGTTTTTTAAAAGCTAAACCTAAATCACGAAAGATTGTAGTGTAAATAGTTAGGCAAACGGAAGATGCTCGTCCTTCTTTATACAAATCAAATATTTTTGAAACAGTAAAATTAGATGGTAAAATTTTTTAATTGGTTTATTGGACGACAATAGTGAAATGACAAAGTATATGAGTCTTTTTGTGTTATAAAACTTGCAGAATTGTTCTTTTTTTTATTACTAATTGGGAAAAACCTTTTGTTTCTCGCAATAATTTTTGGAAACAATAGCTGCATACTTTTATTTTTTTTATCAATTATTAAATGGTACGAACAACAGCATGACCTGTCTTTTTTTGGTTTAATACTATTTATTTAGTCTTTTGTCATTTATTTCCATCAAAGAACCAACTTGACTGACCCTTATATTTCTACTTCCTAAATTCCAATAGTTTTCAAAACAAACTTTTTTATCATTTTCTATCATAGTGTCATTGCATTTTCTTTTAAAAGTACCTTCTTTCAGAAATTATTTGTCCTTTTTCGGTTAAATATGATTTACTAAATTTCTAAATTTTTTGTATTTAGTTTTCTGACGTCTCTTTCTGCCTTTCTTAATATCTTTTTCCTCAATATCAGTTGTTACCTCAACAACTCCAGTGTTACATGAATTGCTTCCATTGTTTTCTTCTTGGCTCAGATTTGTATTTTTCGTCTGCTTAGGATGGGACGTTCCTTTATCTATAGAGTTTGAATATCCAAGATGTGGTAAATAGTTCTGATCAGAAATGCTATTACCTGAATTAAATTTTTTTAGCACATTACCAGCAACGATACTATAAGCTGGTGAAGTATTTGCGGCATTCACATCTGAAACAAAGAAATGTTCTAAAAAAGGTTTTGCAGAAATCTAAATAAGTACCTTACCTTGCATTAGATTACTTAACCTTAACTTTGACAAATAAAACCCTAACTTTAAGAAATATAACAGAAAAAAATTAGGCTTGCAACAAAAAAATTTTAATTTAAATATAAAAATTGACCTTGCTGGGTTTTTTCAAACTCTGTCAAGAAAAAAATTATAAATTTGATGCCTACCTTTTGGGACACACTTGATATTAATGCTGTTACTGCCATTACAGCGCTTTCATTTGTCGTGTATCTTTAATTTTATATTTTTATTTTAGGTCAAACTAATTACGCCATGGCCAATTCGGCGCTAGAGAGAATGTGCGAAAAGAGAAGAAGTGAATCTCTTCCAGGTTTAGCTATCCAATGGGGACCAATGGAAGTGGGTTTTTTGGCAACAACCGATGTTGAACAGAAAGTAATGTATTAAATTAGTTTTATTGATTGGTGTAATTCTTTAGAATTTTTATTTGACTTTTATGCCTTTTTTTAAATTGTATGGCATTGAATGGCAGCTAATTGGCCTATTTTACTTATTTTATTTACTAATAGACAAGTAACTTATTTCTGAGTGCTCAACTGGATAATATTTTTTCGCCTATAGAATTCTGAATGAACACTTATTTCTTAATCTTCTTCTGAATTATCTCTTTTTTCTGGTGTCTATGTGTTTATTGTATTCCAATCAGTAGGAACTAAATGCTCTGAAATACTTAGCAGTGCGCATATACCATTCCAAGACCATAATCTCCTAAAGTTTGCGAGAGTTCTGGAATATCGCTTAGGCAACAATTTTCCTCCTGTAACATACATTACATGGACAGGATAGTATTACATCCCGAGACTGGAAACATTCAATTCTTTTAAAATTGTAGGTATTGACTGTGATGTATGTTATGGCAAATTCTGTCCCTTCGGTCCGTTATATTAATGCATAGCATATGGTTTTCTCTTCATTGACTTTAAGCCCAACTTTTAGAGATTGTAACAAAACAAACAATACACAGTGTTTGAGGTACACAAAATATAGCTACAATAAAAAATTATCATTAACCAAAATTCAAATATAAATTTTCATATACCCTGTGTAACAGATTCAAAATAAATTACCTATTAGTGTGTCAATTGAAAAATCTCAAATAAATCACGAATATTTAAAGTTGAAAATAAGCTGACTGAGACTATCCAGATTAGCCGTGAGGTGCGCCAAGGATGTATTTTATTACCATTATTGTTTAATTTATACAGTGAAGCCCATCTCAGAATTAGCGTTAGCCAAAGTCAATATTGGCCTAATAATAAACGGTGAGCGACTTAATAGCATAAGATATGCTGATGAGACCAAGGATCAAAAATCAAAACAAGTTTAATGTTTACATTATTTTAAGACGAAATAATTTATACCAGGAGCGCATAAAAATTATTGCGTTTTGCATTTTTTAGAATCCGCACGGATCAGAATTGGCAGCACACGTCGGAGGAATTCCTCATTGACACCGGGCTTAGACAAGGAGATCTCTTGCCCCCTGCTATTTAATTTTGCATTGTAACATGCGGTAAGGAAAGCTTAACGACAACTGACAAACGGATTTGCCGCCCAAGGATCAAAAATACTATTGGCGTTTGCGAATGACGTTGACCCAATTTTACAATCCACCAGAGATGCAAAATAAGTTTTCACCCTATTCGAAAACGGAGTCAAGAAAGTTGGACTGAAAATCAACAAGGACACGACCAAGTACATGCTGGTTATGAAGAATTTAAGACCAAGGGTAACACAAAACGTAACAATCAATGAATATAACTTTGAAGTCTTCAAAGAATTCAAGTACCTGGGAGCGATCATAACATCTGAAAATAAATATGAAAAGGACGTTGCAGCCAGAAGCATTGCAGGAAAGTTGCAGAACCAAATGATGATGATAATAATGATGATAATGCATTTTTTAGAATTAAAACATTTAAAATTAAAAAAAATATATATTTTATTTGTATTGTTACAAGATATATGTTGTCAAATATGGTCGACATGTTTTCTTTAATATTATTTTTGAAAACGGAGCAAACATATTTTATTTATGGTAGTTGTTTTGATTGCCTATTTACTCTCCTAAGTTTGCCTTTATATTTCGCAAATTTGTAGTGACCATTTAAAACAAAAGTCTTAATTATTTTATAAATTTCATGTTTTAGAATCTGCTTAACTTGGTTCCACAGCAAATTAATTCCTGTTTGGATACCTTAGAGAGATTTATGATCCAAAATGTTGTGGTTGGATCTAGCGTAATTTTAGCCGAAAAAAGCAAATTAGAAGGAGGCAAAACGACTCAGAAAACATTATCAGGCTCAATTGCAGATATCCTTGGCATTACAGATCTTGGTAAGAACTATAAAAAGCTTGGATTACATTTATAGTTTCCACCTTGTTCAGTAGTATTTGTTTAGTTACAGAATAGCGGATTATATTTTTCGAAATCTCTAGAATTGCCTCTTCTCCAAATGTGTGCCGGTCCAGCGAGCCAGTGACCTTGGTTTTTGGCCTGGGTCACTAGCTCCCATACTGGGGTGTTGTGTGTGTCAAACGATCGGTTGCTGACTTAAAATCCTCTCCGGCCGATCATCTGAAGGGTCTGGCCACGAAGCTCATGCCTAAATGTGTACGACCTTAATGATCAAGAATCGCTGTTGCTCAATCTTGAGTATCTGTGGAAGAAATTGCTGTGTCCTTTTGGAGAACCTGAAACTCAAAAAAAGATAATTTAATGGTATAAAGGTAGTAGTACATAACCTAGAATGTCAGACGTGTATTCCCTGGTGTATAGTGCCCTAATACGTCTTGTGTGTGTGTGTGTTTTCGAATTATTTTTCCCAACTTACCTATCCTATTTTATTAGATAACCTATTTTAACTAGTTCACTTACCAGATCCAGTGCAATTTCAACCCGTTGAATTCCATAGTCTATGTCTTCTGTGCCTTTCCGTTCTATTTTAATACTAGTTCGTCGACTTTCATCCGGATAATTTCTCACATCTAGAATCCTTATCTCTTTGGTTTTTCTATATAAGAACCTTGCGAAAACGTAATGATTTTGCAGATTTATATTCATGCTACTGAACCATGTATTAGAACTGGTATGATGATGTTGTTTACCATTGATAACTTAGCTTTTAGGCCTTACTTGCTATTTTTTTCCACAAGAGGTCCCAACGTACTTCTTTTTTGCTCTTAGTGATACCGCTGTTCATATGTGGTATTTATGTTATTTGTTTGACCATTCTGTCTATACGATAAACATCAACACTTAGTGGTCTGGACTTTCGACTCTTTTTGAAACACGATTGCTCGTGATTTTTTTGGGTTTACTACGATTTTCCATTGAGTGTCATCGGCATTTATATTGAGTATGGTTTGCGGGGTGGTTGGTGGTTGAAGGTTGGTGTCTGCAGTATATATGGTATACAGGAAGGGTGGCAGTACTCACTTCTAAGGCACTGTAGCCTCTATAATTTCGACTTCAGACAGGACATTTTCCTTGCTATCATTTCCTTGTTGTATCCAACTTAGCTTGCTGTATTTATTCTGGTTGAATTCCTGTGATGTATTTGGCCTTAGCCCTTGTAGCTCACCACAATGTTTAGTTCTAAAATCAAATTGTACTTAATTACTATTTATAACTGGGAATAAGCCACAATTAAAGATAAAAATACGTTTATTGAAGTTTCAATTTCCAATTCGAGAACGATTTCCGAATTGGAAATTGAAACATCAATAAACGTATTTTTATCTTTAATTGTGGCTTATTCCCAGTTATAAATAGTAATTAATTTACAATGCCCACAAGAAAATAGCTTCAGAACAATACAAATTGTACTTCTGGTATTATACCTATTGTATTAGACTATTTTTAACCTAGCTAGTATCATTCTTTCTGCAACTTGGCTTATTGATTATAGAATTGATTTAATAAATTTTATATTTTTTTCTACTGTCCATAGCATTATCACTGATTGTTTCTATCCATTTCTTAGGAAATCGTCTTTGTGTGAACATCACATTTATGCGCTGATTTCGGTTTCTTTTGCAGATTTTTTTTGTGCCCTGTTAGTGACCTTTTCTGGTTCTTGTGCTTTGTTTACTTTTAGGTATTAAGTTATTCTTTTAGTTTCTTCTGGTGAGGTTTTCTTCTTCTTCAGGTGCCATCTCCGCTACGGAGGTTGGCAATCATCATAGCTATCTTAATTTTTGAGGCAGTAGCTCTAAATAGTTGTTTTGAGCTGCATCCAAACCATTCTCTCAGGTTCTTCAGCCATGAAATTCGTCTTCTTCCGATGCTTCTTCTGCCATCTATTTTTCCTTGCATTATGAGTCGCAGGATGCCATACTTATCGCCCCCGCATCACATGTCCGAGATACTGTAGCTTTCTTTCTTTAATTGTAAGTTCAATTTCCTTCTCTTTGCCTATTCTTCTCAGTATTTCATTGTTTGTAACTCTATCTACCCAGGAAACCCTCATAATTCTTCTATAGGTCCACATTTCAAAGGCGTTAAGTCGTCTCATGGTATCTAGATTTAACGTCCATGATTCCACTCCATAATATAGTACACTGTATACGTAACATATTGTTAGGCGTACTTTAAGAGCTAATGTTAGATCTTTGCCACATAGGACCTTTTTCAATTTTTATAAAATTAGAACGTGCTTTTTCGATTCTGACTTTGATTTTCTACCGTGTAGTCATTATTTTCTGTTATAAGTGTTCCTAGGTAAGTGTACTTTTTTACTCTTTCGATCTGCTGGCCCTCTACTATCAAGATTTCGTTAGTATTATAGTTGTTTTTACAAATTTTCATAAACTTCGTCCTTTTGACATTAAGAGAGAGTTCGTACTCCCTACTACACATGACTATTTTGCTCATGAGTCTTTCCAGGTCTTGTAAACTATCGGCTATTATTACTGTATCATCTGCATATCTGATGTTGTTAATTAAGACTTCCATTTACTCTGGTGAGGTGTGATTTATTTTTTATTTCTTATAATCTTCAGGCTACCTTCTACCTTTATGAAATATATGAGGAATAAACACAGTCTAGACATTGCATTATATTTCTAATTAGTTGCAAGTTTTTTTTATTGGGTTAATGCCTCGAGAACTATGATCATTGGCATGGTATAGTCAGGTACCTAGTGTAGTGTGTGTGTGTAGAGTAATTGTCTTGATACTTAACCCAAAGTCGACGTCCTTATCTTTGCTAAGAGACGCTAATTGTATCCGAACGTCTGCGGTCCCTCTGGTGAGTACCTAGTTGCAAGTTTGCAACAATCTGTTTTTAACGTTTGTATTAATATTTTTCCATATACTATGTCCATATATGATATATTGCCCTGATTTCTTGTTATAGCTCCAGTGTTTTTTTATTTTACGTTCTTCTATATGTAATGTAATAAACACTTGTGTTTATTCGGTCATCTTTATTAAACAATTTATGTATTGAGCGAAATAATTTATCGTTTTTTTAATTAGTTTGTTTACTAACTATTTATATACTGAGTGATGACAGATATGACAGAACAGTCGAATCGTCAGCAGTGTGTGTGGCATCATTTACGTTTCCCTGTGAATTATTACAAACTACAGTTGGTTATTGTTTGAGTTTAACGATCATTTTAATATCAGTTTAAACAATAAGAATTTTTCTATTGCCAGTGGTGTTTATATTTCGTCATAAAGTGCATCAGAGAGCCCGTATTTTGGATTATCTACAGATTGCAAGGTCAGTCTTTTTATTTTGTTTATATCTATTTACGCGACTCACTCCCACTGCTGCTCTGCTGTTCCCACCATGTCCGACCTGCGCTAACTGTTCAAAGTCAATCGATGATCGAGAATCATCAAAACAACTTCAATGTGAAGCATGTAAACAGAACATACATTTAGCTTGCACTGATCTACGAGCCGAAGATCGCGTTACTAGGCATAAGCTACGCGGAATTAAAATTCTTTGCAACAACTGCTGCTCTAATATCGAAAACTTTGCTAATTTAAAGACGCTCTTAAAAGATCTAAAAGAGAATCTTCAATCAAAAATTGATCTAATAGACCAAAAAGCTAATGATATCAGTGAAAGACTTTTACAGATCGAAAACAAGTTATCTATTGAGGATCATTCTTCATCTCCAAAATTTACAGATACCATAGCAAATGAAGCAGTTTGATCGCATTAACCGGGCTAAGAATATTTTTGTTAGGGGTGTACCCGAAATTACAGGAGACATTGAAACAAAGAAAAGTCACGATGATGGAATATTAAAAAATATTTTAGATTACTGTAATGTCTAACTCCACTCCTGTCACATTTTTCAGGACTGGAAAACCAAACAATCGCTTCCCTAGGATGATAAAGGTCATTATGCAAAATGAACATGAAGCCAAACATATTTTGAAGAACAAAAAGAAACTTTTACAAAACGTCTCTTTAAAAAAACGTTTCCATTATCGACGATAAGACTCCAAATCAAATAGAATGCCTAAAAGAACTTCGAGTGGAACTGGAACAGAGAAAATCGAATGGAGAAGAAAATTTAACCATAAAATATATACAAGGTGTCCCGAAAATTGTAAACTTTCGTCACTAATTCTGATATTTCAGGTTTTCATAATTGGCTCTGTTTCTATACTAATCTAGCTACTTAAATTCCAAATTTAATGAATTTTTATGCAACATTCAAAACCTAAATCCTCAAATAATTCTTATCACTGAAACATGGTTAACACCAAATGATCCTGACATCCCTTTATAACATTGATAATTATTCCCTTTATAGGTGTGATCGTCGTAATCGGCGTGGAGGAGGAACTTGTATCTACTTGTCTTCAGAAATTACTAATAATTTCTCTGTTACATCTCTTGATATTACTGTCCCTAATATGGAACTTCTTGGCTTAAAAATATGTCATAAAAACTCTTTTGTTTTTCACCTAGTATGCGTTTATCGGCCTGGTGATTCTAGATTAGCAGATGATGAGTCCCTTATCGCATCACTTGATGAACTGTCTAGGCTAGAGAATTTAATTGTTATTGGAGACTTTAATTTTAGAGACATTTCGTGGCCTATAACTGATCCACCTAGTGGCTTAACAACTTCCAAAAACGCATTTACAGATTTTGTACTAAATTCTAATTTACATCAATTCATAACGGAGCCGACTCGTTTCAGAATCAATAATTTACCATCTATTTTGGACTTGGTATTCTCTAATGATCCCCATTTATTAACACATCCCTTAATAAGCTCTCCAGTAGGTAACTCAGATCATGCAGTCATAACGTTTTATATTCAGTTTAACTTACAGTACTGTACTCCTAATCCTAATGTTAATAAAACGGTATATGAAATAATTGATTTTGAAAATGCAAATCGCCAACTGACCGACATTGATTGGAATGATGTTTTCGGCGACATAAGGAATCCAGTTGTATTCTGGGATAAGTTCTTACAGGTTGTTAATTTATGCAAAAACCAAAATACCCTCAAAAAAACCATATACAAAAATAACATAAAACCTTGGATTAATGGGGAATTAATATATCTGATCAAGTATAAAAGAAAGTTGTGGAACAAATATAGACGTACAAATCGCATAGAGGATTTACAAATTCATCGAGACTTTGCCAGAGATTTAAAGAAATCTTTACATGAAGCTCGTGTTGCCTACGAAGAGAGTATAGCCATCAGTAATAACTGTAAAAAATTGCACAAGTATATTAGATCTTCGTTGACAACAAAAGTTTCTATACCTTTACTGGAAAATGATAATGGGGATATATCCCAAAATAACTATGAGAATGCCGAACTTCTCGCCAGTACTTTCTCCAAGGTTTTCTCTGTTGAACCCACTAATTATCAGTTCCCTAATATTACTTTCGTCACGAGTTTCTTCTTCTCTTGAAAATATAATCATTACTCCTGAAAAAGTTAAACATCATCTTCAAAGCCTAAAAAATAATTCGTCTCCTGGTCTCGACTTAATATCTTCTTTATTTTTAAAGAAATGTTCTGATGCTTTAGCTTATCCACTATATGTGATTATGTCCCTATCATTCACCACACATATTTTGCCTCCCATATGGAAAACCGCATCTGTAACACCGATCTTTAAAAAAGGGAACAAACTGGATCCTAATAACTATCGTCCTATCAGCTTAACACCTATAATATCTAAGATAATGGAAACTATTATTGCCGAGACAATTTCTGATTTTCTGCAAAATGAACTGGTTATACCAGAACAGCAGCATGGTTTTGTCAAAGGACGTTCTACAATGACAAATCTTCTCTGGTGTGTCAATGAATGGTCAAGAGCATTAGACAGAAAAGCCCCGGTGGACATTATATACCTCGATTTTGCTAAAGCTTTCGATAGAGTTCCAAAACGAAGACTATTACATAAATTGGAACACCTTGGTATCCGTGGTCAACTACTGAAATGGATCGACGCGTATTTAACAGATAGAAAATTTTGTGTTAGAGTTGGGGAATCTTTCTCAGTTGAGAGAACGGTTTTAAGTGGGGTACCGCAAGGATCAGTTTTGGGCCCACTCTTATTCATAGCATACTCAAGTGATCTACAATTTCATATTAAATGCAACAATGCTTTCTATGCAGATGACACGAAGCTATTTTCCGATCCCTCCGTAAATTTCCAGTTACTACAAGATGACTTTGATTGCATATCGGAATGGTGCTCTACCTGGATGCTGCCTCTTAATGTGGAAAAATGTGTAGTTCTTCACATGGGTAAAAATAATCCGTGTCTTCCTTACTCTATTAATGGGCGCGTGTTAAAAACAGTGAAATCGCATAATGATCTAGGCGTTATAATTAATAACAATCTAAGTTGGTCGGAACACATTTTGCATATTTCTAAAAAAGCTAACAGTAAATTATATCTACTAAATAAAACGTTTGCGAAAATGTCATTTATGAGCTCAATTCATCTGTATAAACTGTACATTCGTCCAGTTCTGGAATATTGCGGAACTGTTTGGTGTCCAGTATTAGTGCGCGATCGTAATATTCTCGAAAACGTACAGCGGCAGTGCACCAGGATGTCTTTTGGTCGCTCAAGACCTACGTATACAGAAAGACTGAATATAGCCAATCTCACTACATTTGAACAACGTCGACTTCGAGGCGATTTAATTATTACGTTTCGGATAGTAAAATACAACTTTGGAAATTTGGGGAATATGTTCATAATAGACAATGACAATCGTCTTCGTGGCCACAAACTTAAGTTTAAAAAGGAAACTTTTTTAACAACAACCAGACAATTTTTTCTCTGTAATCGAGTGTTCTCGATATGGAATAGCCTTCCGGCTGAGATCATAGATGCTCCATCTGTCAATATTTTCAAAAATAAACTGGATGACCTTTTGTTCCATAGTTGAACATTTAATTTGTACTAAACACTTACTATTACCTATGTTATTGTATATTCATTTAGATAGTTAGTGCTTAATATGTAACTACTGTAATGTAACAATTTAATTGTACACTATATAACATTGTAGTCACATGGGCATATGGGTTTTGCAACCCCTGCTCAAATCTATTGTAAATAATAATAATAATAATAATAATAATATATAACATTTAAATAACAATAAACAAAATACAACATGTCAGTCTCATATCCCTTTTTTTTTTCTTTTAGATTCAGTAAATAAAGATTTAAGTCTATCTCGTCTAGGACTTGACTCTTTAATGTTAGCAGAAGTAAAGCATACTTTATATCGGTATTTTGAGCTAGATATGGGAACAGAAGAAATAAGAGGCTTAACATTTAATGATTTAATAAACCTACATACAGATAGAGATAAGTCAAAGACGTATGTAAAGTCGAAAGACTTTCCACCTCCACTATTATCGAAAAAACCTATAACACAAATCAAAGAAGTTAACGGTAGTAGCAAAACAATATTTATAATACACCCCATTGAAGGATACATACACTATCTCAAACCATTAGCAAACCTTTTAAATACAACAATTTTTGGTGTAGAATGTACAAGGGAAAGCAATTTTAGTACAATTAAGGAGAACGCCCAATACTTCTTAAAATACATAAAAGAAATTCAACAAAAAGGGCCATACTATTTATGCGGTTATTCGTATGGAGTAAGTTTGGGTTTGGAAATAGGTATTCAGCTCGAAAGAGAAGGAGAAACCGTTCAACTTCTAGCTATAGATGGTGCACCTGACTATTCCAGAAAAATATTTTCAAATTGTGGCGACATGGAACAGAAAATCTGTAGACTATTTCCTTCTCTTTTTAAAAATGTTAACCTTGACACGGTAAGTATTATGTAACTTCAAACGATTATCTTAGCAACTTTTCTTTTTTTAGGATGCTCTTCTTAGGTCTGGGCCTTTTCTTCCGGCGATCTTTCCCTGTATTGTAAGGTGTAGAAGGTTATACTCTCTGAATGTCTCATTACATCGCCGAAATATTGTAACTTCTGAATTTTTATTGATTTTATTATTTCTGTGCTTTTTCATTCGGTGTAAAACTATTTTATAGGTTGTTCGATCAACCCAACTTATCCCTAATACTCGTCGATAAATCCACATCTCAAAGGCCTCAAGTTTTTTTATTAGTGTTGCTGTAAAATCTAGCTCTCCATGCCATACATGAATAAAAAGAATATGTATTAGTGTAGTAATCTTATTAATCTCATTATAAGGTTTAATGTAATATTTCTATTATTGAATTTTCTTTAGTTTATAGAAGGCGACTCTGGCTTTTTTAATGCTTATATCCCAGCTATCGTTAACATTGGCGCCTAAATATGAGATATTGTAGATTCTTTCTAACCATACACTCTGATATTCATTGTATGTAACTCCGTTTTACTGACAACCATAAGTTTATAGCAATTTCTATAGACATATATTTTCAGTTAAAAATTTTATTGTCAATAATTTATTTTCTAATTTTTTATTATGCTCCTTTCGGAATTCTTCTTGATGTACCTATCCATTACGAATGTTGGCAATCATCATGGCAATTTTTATTTTATCTGCAGCAGCGCGAAAAAGCTGCACAGATGTTGTATTGAACCAGATTCTGAGGTTCTTTAGTTTCAGAATTGCTAAAGCTGTTTCAAAATCTTTTATTTACTAAAATGTAGTCCATTTGATTCCTAATAATTCTCCCGGATCTGTCTTAAAGGGATTTCTCCGTGTACAGTTTGCGAGGTGGTAATTGGAAGAATGTGTTGGTGACAACTAGTTTTGAGTCTTCTGCAAATTTTTCTAGGAGGTCTCCTCTCTCGTTTCTGACTCCAAGTCCATGTGCTCCAATGTACTGTGTCTTATCTCCAGCTCAAATCTTGGCATTAAAATCGCCCATAATGATGAAAACTTCCTGTCAAGGAATTTTCTGTATGATACTGTTGATGTTCTGATAGAACTCAATTGCTTCTTCCTCCCCTTTGTCTGCAGTGGGAGCATAGACTTGGATGATGTTTATATTAATAGGGTTGGCTTCTACTTGTAGTAACATTACTCTCTCTGACATTGGTGTAAAGTTAGTAACGCATTTGGCAACCTTGGGTGATACGATCATTCTGACCCATATTCTAATCCATCACTTTTTCCCGAGTAATATACCTTGTGATCTTCTCTTTGTATTTCTCCAGAATTTGGCCATCTCATTTCTGCTATTCCCATGATTTCAATATGCATTCTCTTCATCTCCTGTATTGCATTGTAGATTTTTCCTGCTTTGTATAAAGTTTTGACATTCCATGTGCAGATCTTGATGTTCTCTCTGCATTTCAATTTATTATCTTTTGGTAATACTCCTTTCGGAGTAACATTACAATTTGTTCACTGCTAGAACAATAAATAAGTTATTTCTAACCTCAACTAACTAAATTTGGTTAAAGTTTTACTTAGCAGTATTTCTATAGTTTCTATCAGGCATTGCCTTTTTTTCCCAAGATTTACCTGTACACTACTGCACTATGCTCCGTTTTATAATATCACTTCACTGCACCAATTCCTATGGTTTAATTCATTTGATTCTTGTTAAGTAGCTGGTGGGTTTCGAGATGCATTGACATTAAAGATTTTTTATTTATTTATTCGATTTTTTTGACCTGATAATTCGGATTATCATATTGCGGACTTTATTTAATGTATTCTGTAAATAGACAAACTGATTAATTTCATGGTTTTAGCTTCCGTGTGTATAAATGGTACATAATATAAGAATTAATCTTAAATAAGCTTGTAATTGTGAACGTTTCTGCGTTTTGTAGGTTAAGTTATTGTCATCATCAATTTCGTTCAGAGTTGATCGGAGTGTTATTTTTAGGTAAAAGAAATTATGGAAAAGTTCCATAAATCGGAGGAATACTTGCCTCTGATCTTTAAGTTGATATCGGATGAGACTGGAATAGGACTAGAAGATATTGAATATTCCGGAAGACATTATTTAAGCAGGTGTCATGCATCATTTGTTTATTATCCAGATAAAAAATTTAAAGGGCAGGTGAAGCTTGTTAGAAGAATTATTAATCTTCAAGATGAATCAGATGACTATCATCTACAGAAGGTAAGGAAGCACCATTTAAAGCTTTTGTGCCGTGTTTCCCACTATTGATGTCAATTCACTTTTCCTAGTAATATACAAGTAAAATAAATGTACATACATATGTAGGTTTTAGTTTTTTATTACAGTGAGTATACAGTACATTGCAAATGTATGAAATAAATTCATTATTTCAGAAACGGACAATTTTGAAAAAAGCCCATCAATTTTAATTTTTGATAGCCATTAATTGCTTAATTAACGTAATTAGCTTAATTATTAGTATACATATATTAAACTATTTACGTAGTTTACCTTTTTGTAAATAACGGGATCAGTTATTCAAAAATAAGTTTATGTATAATATTAATAAAAATTTTAAAATATTAAACAGTAAAATAAAAATTAAGAAACCAGTTTAACCTTAACTTTTTTTTTAGTATTGCCAACAAACTGTCAAAATCGAAAAATTAAACGGAGATCACCTTACCATTCTTTTTGGAGAAAATTTAATATTTTTGGCAAAAATCGTCAGTGATTGGTTTGAGATTTAAAGTGTAGTGCATGATAGATGTATGCATTTTGTATAACTGACTCATTCGTTCTTCTTAGTTTAAATAAAATGTTAAAACAACTTTTAAGTTTTATTAATGTTCATGTCCGAGTTAGAACTGAACTTTCCCCAACTCTCTCATCATTCCTGCTAACTTAAAATGAGGTGAATACACAATATATGGTTAATATAAACAAAAACGACAAATAAGAAGGTCCCTAAAAGAATGATGAAGAATCGAGAGGTATAAACCACCATTAAATCTCGAAAGGTACAATATTTCAGATACTTTATTTAATACGAATCCAGATATACCATCCCTCAAGGCATCCTGAAAGGAGAAATATTTGCAAAGCAGGATCCAGAAAGAAGAAGAATATTCTGGTTAAATACCATCAGAATCTGGTTTAATACAACACCAATGCAGCATTGTTATGGTTTAAAATAATTCTTTACAAAACGAAACTGTAAACTCTGCAATGAAGAAAACTGTTCAATTCATAGAAACCAGTGATGATTGCCAGTTTTCATTTCGAAACAAGCAGAAGTATTGAAAGAATTAGCGGAAAGAAAAATAGATATATGTATTCTCATCGAGACCAAGAAAAGGGGAAAGGGAAGTAAAGAGATAGAAAAATATATACATATTTACAGTGAAGTAAGTAAAGATAACAGAGCTAAGAGAGGAGTCTCTATTGCCATTCGAAAAAATCTTAAAAACAATGTTAAATCGTGGACTAAAGTAAATGAACAACTGCTAATACTGAATTATAGCAACTAGTGAAAAGTAAAAATGAGATGTAGGATCGAAGATGTGCAGAGGTGAATAGATATATGGGTGGAACAAGAGTTGGGCAAGCGTGAAAGGTGATAAAGTCTCTCCAGGAGGAAGGAAAGGAAAAATCTAACTTACAGTTTATAGATCTAAAACAGTGAAAACACCATTATGAGGTCTTACTGACAGAGGATAGACGTAAATTCCAAGAGATCGAAATAGAAGATATATCCGAATATAGACAAATAATTGAGATAACAACCAGAGAATTAAGCGATGCCCTCAAAAGATCGAAATACGGTAAAGCAATAGGACCTGGAGATATTCCCATTAAGTTGGTAAAGTATGGACCAAAAATATTACATGAGATGTTGTTTCAACTAATTAACAAATGCTTAAAAGGACAAAATATCCCTGATGATTGGTATGTTGGATACATCAGCTCAATATTCAAGAAACGGGATAAACGTAAATGTTCTAATTATAGGGGAATAACTGTTATCAGCAACAAAATGGATTTCATGTAGGAAGATCGTGCACTGATGATATATTCGTTTTGCAGCAGGTTATCGAAAAACGGAAGGCAAGGAATATATCTATCCGCCTATTGTTGGTAGATTTAGAGAAGAGCCGAACGTATGAGTGATTGGCAAGCACATTTGAACTGCGTTAAGGAAACGCTACCTTATTTCCATGCATCTGAGGATCTACTTTATACTAAGTCTGCATACTTGTACTTACAAGACATGCTTCAATTAAACGAGGTAATGTATTATAGTATTTATCAAAGGTTTACAGAAGGAAATTTTTTCACCTTAAAAGTGACGGAATTGGAGCAAGGAAGATAATCTGGGGGAAGAATAAAATAATAATAATAGTAATAATTAATTTTTTTAAAATCAAGAGTAATTCATGTGAGTTCCACAAAAAAAGGAAGATTTTTTTGGCGTGCTGCGGCTCCATATTCCGTTACTTCACTTGAGGATATTCTCTTAAGAATATTCCCTCAAGGACTAGTAACAAAATTTCTTAAATGGTTAGCAACTCTCTTGGATTTTGCCGTCACTCCAGATAGACCAGTGACTGGTTTTATGCCCAGACTCACCTGGGATTTGTCCTTTACAGCAACAAACTGATTTAGCCGTGCCAAGAGAAGTTTTTCCTATGGACTTATAGTGCTGTAAAGATAAGTTGTTTGACTGTGTAATTTTTTTGTTATTGTCTATTTTGTTAACTTTTCATATGCATATGATCAAGTGACTACATTTTGATAAAATATAAATCAGATAAAAGATAAAAGCTATTTCCATGCATCTGAGGATCTACTTTATACTAAGTCTGCATACTTGTATTTACAAGACATGCTTCAATTAAACGAGGTAATGTATTATAGTATTTATCAAAGGTTTACAGAAGGATATTTTACTGTTAAACGTTCTGATAAACTTTGTTGTGATATATGTAAACAATAATGAACTTGACGGGTATTGATTCCTTAAATTATCCTAAAATTGTCATGACAGTTAGTACAGTAGGCCTACAAGGAAAACCACGGTAAAAAAAATGCATTGAGTACATTAGATCACAAGTGGTGTGGAAATGTGTGCATATCATGTTTAATGTGACTCTTAGAATCGCGTTATCTCAAGAATGGTATAAAGAATAAAGACCATTTTTGTAGAGAATTTTTTTTAAAACTTACCTTTTTCGAGCAAAATCCAAAAAACCTTAAATTGTGATCTTTGACTTCAAATAACTTTTGTAGCATACATACGATCGGTGTAGATTTTTAAAACTTTATTTGTAATAGTAAACCCTGATTCTCCACCAATATTTGTCTTTCCAAAATTTTTTTGTTATTTTAAATGTCTCCATTGACCGAAGCAGCAGAAGAATCCGGGTATAAATATTTTCTCAGCAATTCTCTAGATAGAATGTAATAAAAAGTCGTAAATCAGTTTATTATAGATTTATTCTTTAAATGGAATTTGAATTATAATACACACTGTTAACAGTTAGTGGGGAAGGGATTTTGATTAGTTTTGTTTTTGACAGTGATTGCTTCTTTGGTACAACGACTAAGGGACTATGAACTAGATAATTAATCAGTCAAAGTAAATAATCGTTATAAAATTGTTCCAAAAGTTTCTCTCATAAACATATATTACAAACTTAATAACTATAATTTTGTGTATCAAAATTTAACCTTATTTTGATTAATAATTATTTCTATATATCAGAACAAACTTTAGCACATATTGTGAGATCCAGATTCATATACATACAAGATAATCGCATTGTTTTCGGGAAAAGTCTTTCAGTTTCTATTAAAATCATTTGTTTAAGCTAAAACTTTGAGAAGCATCTAAAATATAATTAAGACAAATAAAAAAATATTACACTGAAATATAAACTTCTAATGTAATTGGTCAAATTTGTTTAATAAAACATTAACATTTGAAACTACAAACGGATTACAATTGTTCAAAACGCCTTCAGTCCTACCAGATCATCATTAATCAACTAAAGAGTACTTGCTACATAACCTTATGACAAAATTACATATTAAAATTTAATTTTAAGTGTTTAAAATTGTAAAGTCAAGCGACACAATGTCGTTATTATTATTATTATTTTTTATTGAGTTAATGCCTCGACAACTATGATCATTGGCATGTTACAGTCAGGTACCTAGTGTAGTGTGTGTATGTGTAGAGTAATTGTCTTGATACTTAGCAAAGTCGACGTCATTGTCTTTGCTAAGAGACGCTAATTGTATCCGAACGTCTGCGGTCCCTCCGGTGAGTACCGATCGCACATGGATAGAAATTATTTTCATTCATTAATTTTAAATAAACGAAAATTTCTCTACCCAGATGGAATTCGAACTCACGACCTTTAGGTTTAAAGGTAGGCGCTCTTACCACTGAGCCACAGAGGGGGTTACAATGTCGTTATTAAAAGATTTACTTTAAGAAAACACATTGGGCTCTACTTGAAACTATACCCGTCTCTAGGGGGCAAAAAACACTAGCGAACTGATGCGCAATTTTCTGCACAACCCATATGTTGGATTAGTTTCGAGTAGGGACTATTGTGTTACCGTAAAGTAAACCTTTCAACATCCACATTGTGTCGCTTTACCTTAAATTTTAAACATTTAAAATGTAATTAATCAAACTAAATTAAAATAAAGTTACCCAAGAGAAAAATTAATTACCAAAACAAAATGCGTTTGTGATTACTGCTGTTAGTTTGTGATTTGACTTCTTCTTGTTCTTGATGTGGCTATCCGTTACAAAAGTTAACAATCATCATGGTAATCTTTATGTTATCTGCAGCAGCGCGAAAAAGCTGCACAGATGTTATAATAAACTAGATTCTGAGGTTTTTAACCAAGATGTTATTCTTCTTCCTGGACATTGTTTTCCAAATATTTTTCCTCTTGGTGTGCATCATCTTGGCGTGCTGCACTCGATCAAACGCTTGCTCGTAATTAACCAGACATACGTATACGTCGCAGATGACGTCTCTGCATCTCTGGAATAAGACTTGTACTGAGAACAAAGCGTCTCTAGTACCAACAGCATTTGCAAACCCGAACTGGTTGGAGGAAATTTGATTTTCAAAGTTCACGTTTCCATACCACAAAAGCAAGATGGACCATATGTAGCACTTGATCATTCTGTAGCGTATTTCGAAGTTTAGGTGTTGATTACATAGGAGCGGTCTGAATTTCACAAAAGCTTGTCTTGCCATTTGTATTCGGGTTTTTATCTCGTGTTGTGATCCGATTGGTCATTGATTGTGGTGCCAAGGTATTTAAAAGTTTTCACGCGATTTATACGATTGTCACCTATGCATATTATCGGGTTTTCTGGAGGGTTTCTGCTAATGACCATATATTTCGTTTTCAAAATGTTGATTTTGAGGCCATATTTTTTACCTATGCTATTCACCCTATCAAGTAATAACTGCTGATCTTCCAAATTATCAGTTATAATCACTGTGTCGTCCGCATAGCGTAGGTTGCTAATTGGTATGCCGTTCACCTTAATGCCTAATTCCGTATCTTCTAATGCTTCCGCAAATATATTTTTAAACATATAAATTAAAAAGCATCGGAGACAGTATGCAGCCTTGGCGGACACCTTTTCCGATATCAAATTCATCCGTATATTGGCCTCGATCAATCCTCACCTTTGCCATTTGGTTCCAGTATAGATTCTGAATAATTCTGATCTCCTTCTGGTCAATGTTGGCCCTATGTAGTAGTTTCATTATGATATCATGTTTAAC